GTTGCACAGAAGCATTAATATGTTTTGAATAGGTTCATTTAATCTTAAAAGTGATTTAAGGTTTTAAAGGTATCTTTTCATAGAGTTGTCACTGGATATTGTTTTGTGGTGACTGAAACAGCTGATGTTGGCCAATGTCAGGTGTGCTGATGCTTGTACATAAGAGGTATCCTTTATTGCTTATAGACTACCTTGTGAGGTGCTTGGATTAGGTTAGTGAAGGGAGTGAGGAAATTGGTGGAACTTTTCCACTTCCAAGTTTATAATTCATTACATTACTTTCCTAAATTTATTTTCATTTTTAAAACTTTACTTCAAAATAATAACCTCTCAGTGTAGGCTGCATTTGAGGAAGTCTGTATATTTATGTTATACAACACAATGGATTGTCTTGATATTTAAAAAATCACTACTGTAGTAGTGATGACTTTTAAATAGTTGAAGTTTCAACAAAATTAGGACACTTTAAAGTTAGAATTGATTTCATGCTTGTTGAATCTCCTTTTTGCTGATTCAGTTAACTTGCTCATAGAAGAAAGAAATTTAAAAACAAAAAACAAAAAAACCACCTGAAAGCCAATTCTGGAATGCTCTTTTGCACCTATAGCAGATGCTGGAAAAGCTATCTCCCAGATGTCCCCAAACCCATGCTTGGCATTGACTGCAATCTCCCTTTGCTTTCCTTCCTTTGCAAAGATCTCCTTCCTGTAAACCATTTTCAATTATGACTTTCCACCAGATGCCTGTCCCACATTCTAGATCTACATCAGTAAGGCAGTAATCTTAGCTTGTGGCTTTTGTTCCTCATTGTTCTATATAGTGGTTCAGAGTGAAGAGATGCACTTAGTCATCCCTTTACAAATGGGGTGCTTTCTGCTGGGATCCTCTGCTCATCACATAACTGTACAAGTAATTTTTTCCCTTATGCAAACTGGTTATCAGGGGCGTCACTTCAAGACAGCTACTTTGAACTGAGGTTGGCCTCTTTCCCACTGTATGACGGATTCTGTGGTGAGGGCAGAAGCCACTACTCCTTTATGAGCAGCATTCCTATTCATTGACGGACCTAAGAGCTCAGTAGGCAAAGACAACATGCTATGTGACGCAAGCTGGAGGTGCTGTAGTGTTCCCATCAAGTCTGGTGCTGTCACAACACTGGACTACCTGAAGAGACTAGCCAGGGAGCCACCTTTACCCCTTTTGGTTTCAGGTCAGCCAGTGTGGACTGCCTTTTGCCTCCAGATGATCTGTCAAGGGTCTGCAAGCTATAGACTGGTCACCTGTTTGTGTAAATAAAGTTTTCTTGGAATATAACCATACCCATTTGTTTACTGATTGTCCATGAAGCAGACTGATTAATCTTAGGTGGTGGGTTTTGGCCCACCAAACTCCAAATACTTACTCTGGATTTTTTAAGAAATTTGACTACTTCTGCTTTAAACAAACAAACAAAAAATCCCTTTTTTAGGAACAAAACTTCTGATGGTTCTTCTGCCTCATCCCCTCTCTGTTCTTTCTTTGCCCCTTTTCATCGCAGTTCTTCTTATGCATATTTTCATCTTGCTGTAAAGATTTGTCATATTAATGTAGCACAAGCCATCCCCTAAACTTGAGCATCTACTTATCTACTCAGTATGTCTGTATGACTACCTGAGCCTTTAGTGCTAGAACCCAATTTATTAGTTGGCATTGATACCTTTTCGGTCATGACTCTCAGAATTGTTACATTAAAGATCAACAGTAAATACAAAGTGGAGTTTTTGAAGTGCTTTAGAAAATAATGATTATTAAATTGGAATGTTATAACCCATGCGACTGAGAAGATATAGGATTATATCTTTAGCTCAAATCCAGTCAACTGCTCAGGTGTTTGTGCTCTCCTCCCTCCCTCCCTCACCCCCACACAGCTCAAAGATAAGTTTCTATACTATAAAGTTGAATGCCTAATCATTAAAAAAAAAAAAAAAAAGCCATTGGCCCCTAAGCAGTGATTGTCTCATTTTTTTCTTTTCTATAATACTGGGAATCAAACCCAGGATCTTGTGCATGCTAGGCAAGTACTCTATCACTGAGCTCCACTCCCATTCCAACTTTTTTTTCCTCTTGCAAATGCCATACTGAGATTTTAGCTCAGGACTTTGTGCTTGCTAGACAGACACTGTACTGCTTAAGCCATGTCTCCAGCCCATTTTGCTGTTATTTAGAGATTAAGATCTTGCTTTTTTGCCCATGTCATCCCGGACTGCCGTCATCCTATTTACAATTCCCACCATAACTGGGATGATAATGTACATATCATCATGCCCAGTTATTTTGCTCAAGCTAGCCTCAAACTAGGGTTCTCCTAATCTCCACCTCCTGTGGGCCTAGGATTATAGGCTGTCATCACCCATCTCTTGACTATTAGTTTTATATCTTACAACTTAATATCCACTGAAAGATTAGAAATCACTTTTATATTTATCAAATTGCCAAGTCAGTCTTATCCAAACTGTAAGTACTCTTCCTCGTGCTTACTGTTAAATCCTTTATTATTTTACTAAATCCTTGTAAAAGAAAGGTAAAAATCCATTCATCCAGTCTCTAAAATATTAACATCATTTTAAAGATATGCAGAATTGGAGGAAGCCTTTAAGCAATATAATTCAACCTTGAAACACTGGAACAGATATCTCCAGGAGGTGAATTGGCAGCTTTGTAGATTGACTTCTTTCCTTTAGATAGTATTGTGAGGAAGCTCAGAGTTCTCTGATGCTCCTCGTACCCCAAGTATTCCCATGCTCTGTTGTGTTGCAGCTGAGGGACTACCTTGAACACTGGAGATGACCAAAATCATGATTTTGCCCTTGGAATTTAACCAAAGTTGGTTGGTGCTTTCCATTACGTCCTGTCCATCTGTTCTTTTCCCAGAGCTTTGGTGGTTTCTGTCCAGTGCTCAGGAGACAGCATGTGCTCTGGCATGTGTTTCTCTTCATATGATTATGCCATTAGAGGGGCAGTTGTACAGGGGTGCTGGCCAGAGGGAGCACAGATACTGAAGCTTTCTCACCTTAGGACGCGCTTCCATCTAACAGGTGTTCAGGTTAAGCTTAGTGGAAGTACTGACCACCCATTTAAGACAGTAGCCAGCTGCCCATGATGTTAATATTCTAGAGGTTGGATAAATGGGTTTTTACCTTTTGTTTTACAAGGGTTAAGTAAATTAATAAGACTAAATCATTATAGGCTAAATAATTACCTAAAATTAAATATTTTCATTATTTATTCTCTGTTACAGCACATTACTCTGTTATTTACAGCATAAATTTACCGTTCCTTTAGTAGTCATTCAAGATCAAATTGTGTAGACAACTTTAGGCACAAGTTTTCTTTGTTCATAAAATCCAGCATTTAATCAGCTCTTTCAGATTTTAGGGTATTACTCCTGTTCATTTCAGTGGATAGCTACTCTTGCACATTAGTCCTGTATAATGCTTGTGCATAAGAAAAAGAAAAGATACCCACTTTCCCAACCAAGTATTTGTCAATGAATTGTGGACATACAGGTTAAGAAATGTAGTCAGTGATTGCAAGTACAAGTCTTCAGACTTATGAGTCAGTAAATCTGACTGTAGGAGACACATTCTACTCTAGCGGTCTAACTAGTGAACCTACAGCCTAGAATAGTGCCTCTCACAACAGCCCAGGGCATGATGCTTTCACCCTTGTAGCCCTTCATTCCTCTCTTGTATCTAGAATATTTGCAAATTTGCCACTCCAAACCTTATTACTTGTAAACATAAATTACTGGCTTTTGCCTGTTTGAACCTCAAGTCCAAACCACAACATTGTTTCTGACACCGTCAGTGCACCAGCAGCTTTAGATAAGTTCAAGACTGGCCTGGCCATTGAAGCCTGATCCTGGTCAGGCTTGAAGCAGCTCCTCATTTTGAGGAATCATCCCTGGTATACCTTTTTTCTCTTCCCTCCTGCGCCACAAGCTTCCTTACAGGTGACATCTTCTCTGGGACAGGTTCTTCTATCCCTATACCCCCCAGTATTTCATGAGACACATAGATGTCACCTGAGAGATGTTTCTTCATATGACTATTTCTAGTATTTAGCAGCTGGGTCCAAATACCATTCAGTTAACACTTTTCCCCCATCCCAATTGCTTTTATTAACCTATAGTTCATGTTGTGTTTTAGCTAAAGCTACAGTGTTTTGGAGCTAGTTTGTGGTAATGATATTATAAAAGTAAGATTTGCCTAATTTTGTATATACCACAGTTATAGATTATTGCTAGAGTCACTGTAGCTTAAGGTTCTTGATTTCACTGGTGATTTCTGCATTCTGAGTAGTTATATTAGACTATGTTAGTGACTGGTTTCAAGTGTGTGGAATACATATTTATATACACCAATGTGAAATTTATTTCACTTTGTAAATAGTGATATTTTCCTGTCCAAATGCTTCTATACAAATATTTATTTTAACAACAACACTGTCAAAGGGCTTTCCAGAAATTGTTCATTTCTTGCCGTTTGTTCTCAATTGTTACATTCAGCAATTGAATCCCCCTAACCCCCACCCTAGAAAACCAGTACAGTGAAGGCAGAAATCTGTAGCCTTGAAAACCTTACTGTATTTAGGTAGATGCAACATGGATTAGGAATCTGAGCACTCCTCACTGTCTTTCCCATCCCAGAACAAAGTGGATCCTATGGTAGGTATGGCCCAGCCAAGCATGGCAGAGGATTTGCCTCAAGAGACCCACTTCTTATATGCACCGCTAATACTTTCACCTTTTCACTTCCACAGCCTGTGCAGGGAAGTGAGCCTTAGTTGTAGCTCCAAGGAAATCCAAGCCCAGAACTGGGATGAGGAGAAACAATTGATTTTGTTGAGATGTGTACACTCAGTGTGTGTGTGTGTGTGTGTGTGTGTGTGTGTGTGTGTGTGTGTGTGTGTGTGTGTGTGTGTGTGTGTGTGTGTGTGTGTGTGTGTGTGTGTGTGTGTGTGTGTGTGTGTGTGTGTGTGTGTATCAGCCTCACATCCTTACCCAAGGGAGATATGCATGTCACTTTCTATATCTTGACAATACTTGGGTCACCTTGGCTTTCCTCCTCCCTCTCCCTGTCTCCTCAAGTGTCTGTGCAGATGTGGCCAGTCCCACCTATAACCCATAGTTAGCAAAATGAGACCATCTGTTCTAAGATGTGTCCAGCTTTCCTTCTCAGGAGTCCTGGTCTGCGTTTCAAAGCAGCCTAGCCCTAGATGTAATGGAATCAGTGCTCTGTGGCCATGGCCCTCTTCCCTGTGTCCTGTTCCTGGACATCCCTGTCTGTCATCTCATTGTGCCTTGCTGGCTGGACTGAGAACTCCAGGACTGCAGGGATCTTAGGGACAAGGTATGCAGGGATTGCCATCCATTTGAACCGTAGTTTGCTTATTTCTCGATGGCCTTCCTTTGTCTTTTCTAAACAAACAAGGAGGACACTTGAACAGTAATGCTGGAGAATGTTTTTCTAAGATGCTGTTTGTAAGCAAATCTGACTTTAAGGTGAAATGTGAATGGGTAACTAATTGCCAGGGAATTTAGCACTGAACTAGACAGTCAAACGTTTTTAACCTTTGCAGGAAGAAATAGATTTTGCTCTCATCTAAATATTCACAGGAAGTAATGTTGTAAATACTTTTCTAAAAATATTTATTACATGTGCTGTATACAGATTCATGTTCTGACTGATGTTGGTTTGCATTGTATTGTGAAATATCTTTTGAGCAGTGGACTTCTTTCATAACACAGAGAAAGAACAAAAACCAGTAGATTGAGAGCTGTTTGGGACATTTGACCTTAATGTACCATTCAATCCAAGCTTTAATTGTCCCCCTCTTCTCATCTGGTTATGTTATATATGTGTGTTAACGCACGTGCCACACACACACACACACACACACACACAGGTGTGTGATAAACTGATCAATACCCAGGTCTGCAGAGCAGATCTCCAGGTGTTCTTTCTGATGTGTTTGTTCCCTAAGCAATAAGACCCTAGCTGATGACGTGTTCTGGGCCTGCCTTGGCCTTGTCTCAGAGGATCAGGTAGGGGTAGAACAGCTCTTGCGAAGCCCTCTTGCCTTTGCTGGAGAGGCTGTTGTACTTGAATTTTTTCTTCTGTTTGTCTGCACACTCCTCATTTCATATAACTCTAGCAGTGGACAAGAAATCTGCCAGCACCGGACACATTAAAGGTGGACATGTATATCAAGAAATTGGGAATGTTCGATGAAGTCATAAAGTTCTCCGAATCCAGTAGAAGCAGAGTTCATTTTGCCATAGAGTAAATGTAAGAACTTGTTACATGGTCTATTAAATATCCCTTGCTATATATGACCCACCATTAGAAGCCAGCGTATGTCCTGCTAGCCTCTGTGCCTGGGCCTGTAAATCCATAGCCCCCACAGTCTGGGGCACACCCTTCAGGCCAGTAGAAAGAGGCAGTCCCTCTGTCTCCCAGTGTGCCTAGCTCAGCAGGCTCCTAAAGCTGTTTAGCAACCTCTCCTTGTGACTGTCCTAAATTTTGTGAAAAAAGAAATGCTCCCACCCGGGTAACCATGGATAACAGTAATGTAGTTTTCTAGGCTTTTGGAATGTCTTCTGTATTTATGATAGTGTTCAGAATTTTTCACTAGTGTTTTTTTAGATTGAAAGTGATGGGTGCATTAGGATAAAACTTTCCATTGCGGAGCCTGAAAGCAAGCAGAGGAAAGAATTTGACCCATATTGTGTTGTTTGGAAGGTGACTAGGTGAGGGTGGGGGTGGGGGGGTTGTAGATTATGTGGGGAGGAAATAGATTTTTGACCAGAGTCTCCCCCAAGTCTTTGATACTTTGTAATAAAAACTCTTCTTATTAGCCTCACTTAATCTCAATAGACACCTGCTGTTTACCCTCAGGGAACAAATGGTTTTCAAAATTGAGTTCCTCCAAGGTTGTCAGCCTGTGCCTGTGTGTGCTGGTCCTCTTTGTGAACTCATGGCATTATTCTCCTGTATCCATTGTGATGTTAAGAAATTCAACCCCAATTTGTATTAAAAGCACAGCCCAGGGTCCTAATTTAGGCTACAATAAATGCCTTTGATGGACCAGGGGATCATAGGAGGCCCACACAATTTAACTCAAGCTCAGGTGCCATGTTGGATTTTTCTTTTTAGGCTTCAAACTTTCAGAAAGAGTTTAAGGCAAGGGCTGATGATCCAGGCTGCTCTAAAATGAATCTGCCATTCCTTTAAAGATCTTTCTGGTTCCTCCCACTGTTGACATTGCTGAGATCAATCTGATAGGTGTTCAGATGTGCTCCTTTTTGCTGTCTTGTGAGTGTTAGCCAGTGTTCCAAAAGCCCAAGGATGGCTGGGGAGAGCCTAGCCCCTTTCTGGTACCCAGTGTGTGTTCCCTTCCAAAAGCAGCAAAGAGACAGCTGCAAGTGACAACCTGGAAGATCAGCATGCATTCCTTGGGACTGGACTTCCACTGTGTTAGTAAGTGTAGGAAAGTACTGTGTCTTTAATGGCTGAAAACTCAGTGTATGCTGTGAATTTGTTGGTTTGAAACATTGAAACTTTTTCATTAGACAATGTTTACATACCTCACCTGAAGAACCTTTGAGAGTGTATATAAAATCTTAAAATATATTAAGTTGCTTTAAAACTATGTATAGCTATAAAGGAGTTATTTTAACTTTGAATATGTACTGAGTCTTAAATATTGAAATCTGGTAGACTTTGTGCTTCTGTGTTTTACTTTCCTGTTAGACCACGTAGGAAACTGTGTTCTTGTTATTGGTAAAGGGGCCCGCACTGAAATCCAAGTATGGAAGGGATTTCCTGTGATGTTTGAAATGTTCTTGTTTGGTTTTAAGGAAATGGGGTTTGGAGCTAGGGACGTGTGGGAGGGATTTCTCTAACATTGACATCTATTCCACGAGCATTTTCAAGGCGCTTATTTTATTGCAGCATATTAAACTTCTTTGATATTAAAGTGTGTCTTGCGTAATCACTGGAGAAAATATAGACTACACTGGAGAAAATATAGAATACATTGGAGCCAAGCCCTCAACACGTGACCTACTGTCTATCTTATTGGTAAGTGGAAACAAGGAACCCAAAAACGATACTCTGTCTTACCCATGGTGTTGGGGCTTACAGAAGAATTACTTGTGCCACTCTAAATCATAAATCATGGAAGTGGAGCTGTGGCTCAAAGTGGCAGAGCACTAGCCTTGAGCAAAAGAGCTCAGGGACAGGGACCAGGCCCTTACTTCAAGACCCACATCCAACAAAAAAGGGGAAAAAAAGGAATCAATCATAAATCATTCTTTGAGGGAAGAAAGAATCCATAGGATTTGCATGGCAAGGTTGGAAGAGGGCCACTGTTTCACCCTGTGTGTAGAGAGCAGTGGAGTTCAAGCTCTGGACCTCTAGCATGCTAGGCTAGGGCTTTCTGGCTTGTCTGGGACCCCTGGAATATGGCAGAAAGTCCTTGCATTGCAGTCTGTTTCATATTTAACTCTGCTGTAAGTGGGTCAGGATAGAAAAGAACCAACCCAATAAGCCCATGAGAATCACTTAAATTCATGTAACAGAACTGTATCTCGTGAAGTGTTCAACTCAGATTGCAAACTACTGGTCCACAGATTTGTTTTCTTTAGCCCATTGAAAAAGGTTTTAAAACATGCTTTTAACATAAAAGATTGAGATTTTTAGCCAAGTACCTATGGCTTATACTTGTAATTCTAGCTACTCAGGAGGCTGAAATCTGAGGATTATAGTTCAAAGCCAGCACAGAGAAGGAATGTCTGTGAGACTAATCTCCACTTAACCATCAAAAAGCCTGAAAAGTAGCTGTGGTCCAGGTGGTAGAGTACTAGCCTTGAGCAAAAGAGCTTGGTGACAATGCCCCAGCCCTGAGTTTAAGCCCCAGTACACTGCCTCCACATGATTGAGATTTTCAGCTTTGTGATAAGAATCAGCTGATGCTCAGTCCTGCCATCAGAGGGCCAGTCAGGTCCGACTGGCATCAGTAACCTGTAGCCTGTCTGCCAGGGCCCAGTCTCAACTAGACACCCAGGTCCTGCATCCTACAAAACTCCCAAGTACAGTGTTCTGGTCTGAAACAGATAACCTCCCAGAAATTTGTTTGCCTCCTCTGGCCTGGAGACAAATGGAACTGTACAGGATGTCTGAGAAGCCTACCTTGTAATCTGCCCTGGTTGAAATTAGAAACCCTTCAGGACCAGATTAAATTGGGGGAGGGGGGACAAAATGTCCTGTTAAATTTTAAAACCTTAGAAGATTGGCAAACACTTGGTAAGAAATGAGAATGAATACCCTCCCTAGTGCTATGCCCTGTCTTGCCTCTCATAAGCCCCCAGGAGCTGTGACCCATCCATCTTTAGGGAAGTCCAGCCTTTGCTGCTTTAGGAAGAGCAGGACTCTAGGGCAGACCTTCATGTAAAGCCCATAGTCCATGTGGGATCACGTCAGAAGCCCTTGTGTCTTAGAAGGGTAAATGCGGCGGCAGCAAGCTCACTTTGGTAGAGAAAGAGACCAACCAGGCAAAGTCTATGGGAACCAGTCATGTTCACATGGAAGACAGTAGACATGGACATTTCCTACAACAACACAGGGAAAGGGCAGGTGTAGCTCCCTCAGGGGCTGCTCTAAACCAGTCTCTATAAGAGTGGTCCAAACAAAGACTACTGTAACTCTAGACAAAAGGTCACAACCACATAGCATTTGATAATCAAGACACTGAATGTTGACTTTAACATATAAAAATACTATAACAAAATGAAATACAAATATATATATATATTAGAATCTGTAAGTATTCTATATAAAGAGATACTTTTGTGGTTAGGCAAACAGCAGGCAGAGGAGACAAAGCCAGCCTTTTTCCATCTCCTAGCACCATCATGGCACTAGTTCCCTGGAATTCCCTTTGCTGGCTCTCTGGTGCATGAAAAAATGGAAATAGACAATGGGAGCCACAAAGCAAACTGAAGGTCTTTGCCTCAGAGGTGTGAGGTGTGAAGGTGACTTCTTGAAGGGGTAGTTTCACATCTGCAGAGCTTTACAGGTCAAGTGGGTCCTTTGGTGACTTGCAGGTTGGTGGCCAAGATGTACAAAATGTTGATCCTGGGGCACATGGCTTTCACCCCTTTCTGTCTGCCTCACCTTGTGGTTACTCCCAGTCCTCAGACTCTGGAGGACCAGTATGGTGGTGCTGGTGGGAAGGGCCTTAGTCTCTTCTGAGACTAAGCAGCCTCTCTATCCCATTGCCTCAGAGAAGAGGTGGCATCATTTGTCTGCAGGTGCCCCTTCCACTTTTTGCAGACTGGAGAGACCTGCAAGTCAGTGTCTCTCAAGCCCAGAACTGGCTTCTTTAGGGCTTTGGGCAATGGTGGTGACAGGGGAAGCTAGCTGCCCTTGTGCTTTTCTGTCCTGTGCAGCCCACAGTGGTCCAGAAGCTTGAAGTAAAAGAGGCACACTGCAACTCTGGGAAAGACTCCAAGAGGCCCAGGCCTCTGAATACTTGAAGGGTAGGAACAGGTATTGTCTTCCTCAGAGCCTTGGGGCCTGGCCTCTGGTACATAGTGGATCCAGTCATGAGGACATTTCTCAGGTTGAGCACAATAAGGTCCTCTTCCTGTTCCGGGGCCCCATAATGCTCACTGATCTGAGTGATCTGAGTGCCTATACAATGGAATGTGCTGGGCTTCTCCCCCCTCCTCCCTCTTCCTCACCCCCCCCCCCCCCCCCCCCAGCTATCCGCCATGGACTGCACTAATCTATGTCAAGGGCCTGGTCATAAGAGCATTGCAGCTCTCAAACACACACTGCCAGGGATGGAAGGAGTCAGGATAGAAACATGCTCCCTTGCCCATCAACACTCCCCTCCAACACTCCCTGCCCCCCCCCCCCATTATATCCTCTTAGGAAGGTCATCTGGGAAAGGAGAGTGTAACCTTTCCTCCCCTCAGCAAATTTGCTGTGACACTCAAAACTCATCTTTCTACCTCTGCATGAAAAAAAAAAAAACCCACAAAGCCACCTTTGACAGTTGTGTATCCAGTGATTCTTCCAACACAGAGCCTTCATTGCAAATACCGAGGGTGAGCAGCTGCAGTCCAGGCTATGGCAGTGGCTGGGGCCCCCCACGGGGCTCATCACTCTTCCTGGCCACCCTAGTGGCAGAACAGAACATCTACAGTACCCCATCCCTGGGTTAGGCACAGAAATAATTGCTGTGATCATCAAAGCAGGTGCTCTCACTCCTTAGGCCCCCATTTCAGAATGGAGTCTACATGATTACTTTCTTCAGCCAGCCTCCCTATGCTACATCAGGTAGTTTCAGGTAGGAAGTCTGCCAGAGTGGCACCAGTGCCCCCCGGCCCCCCCACCTCTGGACTGCTGTGCCTTCCACTGCTCCCCACTGGCCAGTGTCAAGGACTCTAAGCCAGCCCAGTCGCACAGCACCCCAGCACCGCTACCTCTGTCAGGGGCTCAGCAGCAGTTTGTGGCTGGGGAGGACCAGGCCCAGTGCCCTTTCTGTGGCCCTGGTTTATTCAGCGGGTATCAAGAGTGCCCTGTCCTCCTTGGTGGGTCATTTTCTCCGAACGGCTCCTTAGAAACCAGAGTCATCCTACACTTGAGGGTCAGATAGGAACCACCTCCACTCTGAAGCGGAGACCCCTGACCCTGGGGGACAATGAAGCTACCTCCAGGAGGCTGCGATCAGAGGGGAAAGGGGCCCCTGGGACTGGGATCTCAGTTTGGGCCAGCCTAAGCTGCCAGCCAAGGAAGTCGCTGCTCCGGAAAGGGGCAGCCGGCCTACAGGCTCGCCACGTCTGCCCTTTGTGGCCTGACCTCACGCACACATTCATTCAACAAATATTTATTAAGCGCCTATTTGTGCAAGGCACTTCCGGAGAAGGTGGCCCCAACTGGGGCCCGGCCTTTCTGCCCCGGCCACAGCACAGTCTGCTCGCAAGGCTGTTCACGTGTCCCCGCGCCCACCAAGGTCCAGGCGCCGTCCTGGTGATGCCCGCACCCCAGCCCAGCTGCCGGCCGCTGTGCCCGCCGGTCCACGCGGCTCTACACGCAGAGCGCACAGCCGCACTTGGTGGGTTTCTCCACGTCCTCGGCAAACGACGTCCCATCGCTGCACTGGAAGGTGAGTTTCCTCCGCTTCAGCCGCAGGCCTTGGCAGCAGCCCTGGCCCTGGCATGTGCCCCGGCACTCCACCCACGACAGTGGGCGCGTGGTCTGGCAGATGGCATAGCCCCTCTGGACCCGGTGAAAGTCCCGAACAGGGTCCCCCCGGCACTCGGATTCTGGATGGGATAGACACCAAGAAAGAGCCTCAGGGCACACCCGTGGGAGGGAGGGAGGCAGGGAGGGAGAAGGAGGAGGAGGAGGAGGAGGAGGAGGAGGCAGGCCGCATTCCGGGAGGGGTCCACGTGTTCTCGCACCCCTCGGACCCCAGCATCCTCCCACCTCTGGCGCATGCACCTGCTCACGGCTTCCTCCTGGGCCCACAGTGTGCTCAGGGGGAAAGAGGAACTGTCTAGCTGCCAGGGCCCTCCAGGCCTGAGTGACTGCCAAGGTAAGGTGGTGGCTGGTACAGAGGTGTGCAAGGTCTGAGGCCTGGAGGCGATGACATTATAAAGGGAATCATGCTGGGAAATGGGTTGGATGGCTCAGGGGCTCTTAAGATCTTCCCTCTGCCCAGCCTCAGCAATCTGGATTCTAGCCGAAGCATCCTGGTCAAGCAGGCAGCGTGGGCCTGGGCAAGAGTCCTCATCCATCAGATTTCTTGCTGTGCCTGGGACCGAGAGGTGGCATTCAGGAGCTGCCACCTGGGTGGTCACTTTTGTAAGGAGAGAGCCAGAAAGGGCAGTGCCCTAGGCAAGGGAACTGCAGGTCAGACAAAGGCCCTGGAAAGATGGGAGGGCTGGGGTTTAGTGCCCACAGGGTCAGGACACCAAAAGCCAGAAGTCACCTAGGTGAGTGGGAAGAACTGGAGGAAGAAGGGGTTGCTGAGGTTGGGAGAAAGAAGACATCAAGTTGCTAAAGCAAGAGCGGGGAGGGACGCTGCAGAGGGCATGTCAGGAGAGAGGCCCCTGACCTTGCTCACACAGCTCGCCAGAAAAGCCAGGGTCACACACACAGTGTGCTCCCTTGGTGGCTGAGGCCTGGCAGTGGCCGTGTAGGCACTGCAGGCCCCCACAGGGCTCTGCTGCAGCCCCAGCCTGGTTGCACAGGGCCCCCGAGTACCCGTCCTGGCACTGGCAGCTGTAGGAAAGAGCATCGAGAGGCACGCACTTCCCATGGACACACCTGAAGAGGGGCAGAAAAGGCACAATGAGAACAGCCCAGCTTGAAAGGGCCTCCCCTCACTCCCCCAACCTGGACTTCACAGGACTTTTTATCCTGTTCCCAAGACACAAGGAATGCAGTGTGTTCCTAAATGTCTTGAAAGACCTTTTCCCATTAAAAATTGAAAACCAGCTGTGCACCAGTGGGCTCATGCCCATACTCCTAGCAACTCAGGCCGCTGAGATCTGAGAATCACCATTCAAAGCCATCCCAGGCAGGAAAGTCCATGAGACTCTTCTCTCCAATTAGCCAGCAAAACACCAGAAGAGGAGCTATGGCTCGAGTGGTAGAGTGACACCCTTGAGTGAAAAAGCTAAGGGACAGTACTCGGGCCCTGAGTTCAAGCCCCACTACTGGCACTCATGTACAAAAAACATGGCCCTCATCATCAGGAAGTTGAACTTGCAGGGAAGGGACAGGTGGGCAGGGACAAGGGCTCCCTCAGCCCAGCCCAAACTCACTTGTGGCCATGGCAGGGGCCATCAGCTGGCTGGTCACAGTGCAGCCCCCCCCATCCAGCCTCACAGTGGCACACGGGGCCTGGGGTAGCATTGGGCTGGCAGATGCCATGCAGGCAGTAGAGCTTGCGGCAGGGCTCACAGCCTGGCACCACACCCGGTTTCATCTGTGTCTTAGTGAAGTCCTGCAGCTCATTGTTGATGTACAAGTTTCTGATGCATCCATGGAAGCTGGTGCCATTGAGGATCTGCCACAGGCGGAAGGCAGCAGAGTTCACATCCACGGGCATTCCTGGGATGGGTAGGGAACAAAGCCAGGCTGATTCAGGCCTAAGCAATGTCTGACATCCTCCTGTGAGATCTGCTGGACAGCTCCAGTGACCCTTCTTGCCCTCAGCTTCTGTCCTATTCCTACCAAGGTCCTTTGTCATCTCAGAGGGCCAGAGTCCTTCCTCAGAAAGCATAAGAAAAGCTGTTTCCACTAGTATCAGAGCTGGGATATCAGACTTGGCATGACCAGATGATGAGTGAAGTTCTGAGGTGCCAGTCCCTGAAGTCTGGCTGTTCTCACCCTCCGTGGTACCAGCTTTCATCACCAGACACCATGACTAAAGCAAAGGGCCTGGGTGTGGCACTCATGTGCAGGGCACTGTTACCTGCTTTTGTGCATGTTGCTTCCAGCAATCCTGAGGTAGAGGCTGCTAACCCCCATGTGACAGGTGCTGAGCAACTAGCCTGCAGTTGCTCAATTGGTAAAGGCAGAGCTGGGTTCAGTAGCAGAGGCCAGAACCCTCCCCTGTGTCCCAATCGGGAAACATTAGAGTCGCCAGCTAGTGCAGAAATTGGGCTAGGTCAACTGCAGTGGCTCTGGCCTCTCAGAGTCAAGACAAGGGATGGACCCTAAGCTCTTTCTGACCCAAATCTAAGAAGAAAGGTGCTTATGGTCTGGAAGATGGCTGAGAATGGCCCAGGCTTTCTCCTAGATCCATCATCCACCCTTCTTTGTCAGCCTGAGTTGGGCAGAGCAGCCTGGGCGCCACATAGGAGAGTGCAATCCACTGCCAGTTTGGCTAGTCACTTGAGCCACCCCCATCATCTGGTACTGCCCCCCAAAGTGCAGTGTCCAGAGAGCCAAACAGGCCCAAGGTGAGGTCTAAGGAGGGACAGAAGACATTTCCACTGGGCCAGGTCCTCACCTCCCACATAGAGGGGAGCTTCACTGTTGAGCGTGTAGTGTTTGCCAAAGTTGTCCATGGTCATGGGCCTGCCGCCATCGATGGAGAGATTCACCATCTGGTCAAAGGTGACCAGCTCGACAGTGTGGAACTGCCCATCATTGATCGTCTCAGCACTGGAAGGAGATGTGGTGTCCCCACCACAGGCAGTGGGCTTCAGCTCATGCCACACTGGCTGGGCACTCCCCCAACACTGCTACCCAAGGGGCCAAATCTCTAGAGAGAGCACTGTGGAGACCAAGTCACAACTGAATGCCTCCTATTCTTCTTCCTGAGGTCCTAGGGAAAAGCTGGGGATCTCTGTCCCCATTCAGGAGACTCCTCTTACATGGGGGGGGGGGGGGGATGGTGAAGAAGGGTCACCACTCAGGCCTCAGAGAATCTTAGGTCCAAGCTGGTTCAGATGGCCTTTCTATTTAGACAACCCAGGTTTCTAGTGGTCCCAACAATTACCTATTCTTGGCCTAGGAGACTCTGTCACCGGAGGAGGGCTAGAAGGCATACATATACCTACCTGTAGATGGCAGAACTGGGATAGCTGCCGGGGTCATAGCTGACTCGCACATGGCCCTGGTACAGCTCAACGGCAATGTGGTCATTGTCCCCATTGTACAGCAGAATCCCATTGTCCTCTGCCGTGGAGACCTAAAGGGCAAAGGCATTTTCTCTCCCATCCCACCAGCAGCAGCACAGGTAGATGGGGACTCAAGTTGGGAAGAACAGCATTCTGTGCAGAGCCATCTTTCCCTGGCTAACCAGCCTCCCCCCTCTAGGGGGTACCGACAGAGGCTGCCAGCCTCAGGTTCAAATATCTACTGCCAGTCTGGCCAAGGGCAGGCAACGGGGAGGATGGGCCAGCTAAAGCTCAGAAAGTATGTGCTGACGGTGCGGGGGGGGGGGGGGGGGGGAAGGGGGGAAGGAGAAGGATTGGGATTGGGGGGGAAGGGGGAGGCTGGGAAGGGAGGTGAAGGGTAAACAAAGGAGGAGGCTGCAATGCTTGGTAAGAAATGTAAGCATTATCCTGCCCATGTAATTGTAACCCCTCTGTACAGTATGTTCACAAATAAAATAAAATTAAATTAAAAAAAAAAAAAAGAAAGTATGTGCTGAGGCGCACGTAAGAGCCCAGAGAGAAGAAGAGATACATAAGTATGGCCACCTCCAGGTGGATATCAGGAAACTAGCTGTATGAGCTGAGAAATACCGAGGAACACATTCAGGATAGCTATGGCTGAGAGCCAGACTTATCCAGGCAAGGAAGAAGCTACTTAATGATGTTTATCATTGGAACCATGCAAGCAAGAGCTGGATATTTGTTTGGGGAGTAGCTCCCCCTTAGCTGCTGTAAGAGCCATGATCTTTTTCTATTGTCTGTCCATCTTCTCTGATTTCTTTTTTTTTCTTTTTTGTCAGTCGTGGGTCTTGAACTCTAGGCCTAGGCACTGTCCCTGAATTCTTCAGCTCAAGGTCAGCACTCTATCACTTGAGCCACAGTGCCACTTTAGTTTTCTGGTGGTTAATAGGAGATAGGAGTCTCACAGACATTCTTGCCCAGGCTGGCTCTGAACTGCAATTCTCAGCTCTCAGCCTCCTGAGTAGCTAGGATTACAGGTATGAGCCACTGGCACCCAGTCTTCTCTGATTTCTTTTAATAAAGGACCTTATCTGCTGGTTTGTAGAGGTGGATGCATGGTTCAGGCTAAACCAACTATACTACTCCATCTTCTAATGGTTAGTCCATGAGTTTCATGTGAGTGACTCATATGCTGATGGTTGTCAAATTAGAACTGGTAGGAGGAATCTCTCCTTGTTATGTAGCCCAGGCTAATCTCAAACTCCCAGTCCTCTTCCCTTAGCTGCCTGCATGTTAAGATTACAGGAGTGTACTACCATTTCCAACTTAGGAACATCTTAAACTTTGAAATTTGAATCTTCTGTGGGGTGGGGAGGGGGGATAATCAGGATAAACAAAGCATGTGCCTGAGGTGGTGGTTGCTTGGGTTTATGAGTTTTGTCTTGTTGAGCAGTTGGGCTGGCTACTGTCTTCTGTGTGGACAGTGTGAGTGAAAAGGATTTTGGTGAGGAGGCCTGGAAGGAATATGAGCTTGTTTGAGAGGCTTTTTTAAAGGCTTGTTTTGAGAGGAAAGGAAGAAGGTTCAAAAAAAAAAAAAAAAAGAAGGGGAAGGAGAAAGACAGTACTTGTGATTAGGAATGGAATGGAAAGAGAGAGATAACTGAAGAGTTAAATACTTCATCCGGAGATACAGAATACAATACACTCGCTTTCTCCAAGACTATTTAGCAAATTGTCCTTTTGTTTGTTTTGTTTTGTCAGTCATGGGGCCTGAACTCTGGGCCTAGATGCTGTCCCTCAGCTCTTCAGCTCAAAGCTAGAGCTCTACCACTTAAGCCACAGCTCCATGTCAGGCTTTTTCTGCTTATGTGGTGCTGAGGAATCGAACCCAGGGCCTCATGCATGCAAGGCAAGAACTCTACCACTGAGCCACCTTCCAAGCCTCTGTCCATATTTTTAATCAGTGTTGTTGAGATGGGACTTGCTTTTACATGAGATCCTCCAAGATGTAGTTAAACTTATGAAAAGGACCCCAATACTAGGACAAGCCTAGCAGTCACTCTGACTATATTTTGGTCACCTGGCACAGCCTAAATAGACTATGGCACTGGAGGTAGAAGTTGAGGAGTAGCTGAGCTGAGAGATGGTAGGAAAGGCCCCTGACATGTTTGGTTTTCTGTACTCAGTCACTCATGAGACTTCCTTCCTGCTTGCCCTACTCTATGACACATAGCCTTTGCAATTGCAAAGGTTGCAAGCTGCAATCTTGATATCCAGAAAAGATCTCAACCCGGTTTTCTCCCAGTTGCCCTGGGCAAGATGTACCCTGACCCTCTGACCTGAGCAGGTCCCCTGCTACATGACTCCTTTTCTTACCAGGTAGTATGGTCACTCACCTGCAGGGTGATGTTGGCCCGTGGCCAGTTCTGCAGGTCAGTGAACTGCAGGTAAGTGTCTCGATCCACAAAGTTAACACTGAGCAACTTCTCACACTCGGGACCACCAAAGCCTGGGAGGCACTGGCACACAGGCCGGTTGCCCTGGTCCACACAGTGGGCCCCATTCTGGCACTCAGCCCCCTCACAGGGACTACTGGGGGCTGGTGTGTGGGGAGGGATCTCACAGAGCTGTCCCCTAAGAAGAAAGAACAACAGGTCAGAGAGGACAAAGCTAAAGGAAGAAGTGGGTATCTCTTTTTCCAAAGTCCTAGAGAGAAAGACTAAATATTTTAGAGGATGTTCTCTTTTTTTTCATTTTGTAAGAAATTTATTTTTATTAGCATATATTAATTGTACAAGGTTTTTTTTGGTAGAAAATGCACTTAATAAATACTATTATCTGAGAGAACTGACAGCCAAAAAGATATTGAGAAACCTATATGTCTCAACAAAGTATTAGCAAATCAAAGCAAGCATAAAAATTATTATATACTCTGACCATTTGGGAATTCACCCCAGGAATGCAAGGTTGGTTTGACATCTGATATCAAGTAATGTAAAACATAAAATCAATTGAATTTTTTTAAAAAAAGTCACATAGTTACAGATAAGATACTATATAAACTTCAATATCCTTCATGATAAAACATCAATAATCTAGGAATCAAGCTAATAAAAGGTACCCCCAAACCACACAATTAACATAATATTTAATAGTAAAATGCTGAAAGTTGACACACTAAGATTAAGCAACAAAAGTATCTGCTCTCATAACTATGTAATGTTGCACTGGAGGATCTAGTCAATTATGCCAGAAATGCAATAAAATATATCTATATTAAAAAAAGAGAAGAAATAAGTCTGTATAAGAAAAATCCTAATAAATCCATTAAAGTACTCTCTGAACTAACTGAAGAACTCAGTAAGATTGCAGGATAAAAAAGTCCATGTGTGAAAATAAGTTTAAGCACGAGATGATGGCTAATGCCAATCCTAACTATTTAGAAGACCAAGACTGGGAGGATCACAGTTAGAGGCCAACTAGGCAGAAATGTTTCCAACCCATATCTGGACACAGTGACATGAGCTTATTATCGCAAACTATGTAGGAAGATGAGATTGGGAGGTTTTTGGTTCCAGGCCAGCCCAGGCAGAGAAGTCCATTAGACTCCATCTCCATGGGAAAAAGCTGAATGTGGTGGTGCAAACTTGTCATCCCAGCTGGTATGGGAAGTCTAAAGTAGGTAGATCATGACTCAGGCAAACACCTGGTGAGAATGAGACCCTATCTTAGAATAATCAGCAAAAAATAAAGCTGGAGGCATAGTTCAGTCCTAGTATACAGCCTAGCAAACATGAGGCTCTGAATTCAAATCCCAATACTGACAAAAAATAAAATTAAGAAATCAATTTCGTATATAATAACATTAAACAGAACAAAATATTGGGGAATAATTTTTTTTAAATAAGCATGAAACATATACTTGGAAAACAAAACCATTGTTGAAAGAAATGTCTAAAACTCTAAGTCAATGGAAAGGCATTGCATGTTCTTGGAACAGAAGAATTAAAATCATTACAATGGCAATGCTCCCTAAATCAATCTACAGATTCAGTATAATCCCTATCAAAATCTCAGTTGACTTTTTCTGTAGAATGTATGGATCCTAAAATTCACATGGAAATTCAAGGAATCCAGAATAGCAAAAATAATCTTGAGTAAGAACGAATCGTGAACAAATTGTGAAAAGAGTGAGGCATAAGGCTAACTACTAGATCAGTGGAATGCAAATTATAGCTCATAGATACCTTCACACTTAGGGTCAGTTGATTTTTTACATGAAAGCCAAGACAGTCAAATTGTAGAAAAAAAGTAATCTTTTCAATAAATAGTGCTGGGACAATTGGAGAGTCATACACCAAAAGAATGCATTGGGCCAGGCACTGATGGCTCACGCCTATAATCCTAGCTACTCAGGATCGAGGTTCAAAGAAGCCCAGACAGGAAAGTCCCCCAAAAGACTCTAATCTTCAATTAACTACTCAAAAACCAGAAGTGGTATTGTGGCTAAAGTAGTAGAGCACTAGCTTTAAGCAAAAAAGCTCAGGGACAGTGCCTAGGCTCTGAGTTCAAGCCCACAACCGACAAAAATAAATGCTCTGGATACCTACCTCATGTCATATACAAAAATTAAGTAAAGATGGATCAATGATCTAAACATAAGAGTTAAGAGACAACAGAAATAAATCTTATGACTGAATTAGGCAGCAATTTCTTAGATATAGCACCAGAGTCACAAGCAACAAAAGCAAAATAGAGACAAACTAGAAATCATCAAAGTTAAAATCTTTTGGCTATCAATAGATATTATCAAGAAGACCATCAGAATGGAAGACAAACATGTATCTGATAAAGAACTTACCTAGAATACATAAAGACTTAATAATGAAAAAGCAAAACAAGTCAACTTAAAAATTGGTTAAACAATTTAAATCAACATTTCTCCAAAGATCTCAAAATGGCTAATAAGTACACAAAAGGATGCTCAATTTCAATAACCATCAAGCAGCAGAACCAAAACTACAATACAATGCACTCATTAGGATGGCTAGAATTTAAAAAAATTGATGCAAGTTGCAAGGAGGTGGAGGAACTGGAAATCTCACACACTGGTAGAGATATACAATGATGCATCCCTAGAAAACAGCTTAACCGTTCCTCAAACAGTTAAACATAGGATAACCGTGCAATGCAGCAAATGCACTTCTAGTTATATCCCCAAGAGAATTGAATACGTGTGATCACATGAAACTTTGTATGTGAATACTCATAACTTTGGTATTCATGATAGCCAGACATTAGAAGTAACCTAAATATTCATAAATTGATGAATGCATAAACGAAACATACATCCATGCAATGTAATATCATTTAGGAAAGAAAGGCTGAAACATGCTATCAAATGGATAAACCTTGAAAAGATTTTGCTAAGGCCCAGCACCTGTGGCTCACACTTGTAATCCTAGCTACACAGGAAGCTGAGATCTGAGGATTGCAATTCAAAGCCAGCCTGGGCAGGAAAGTCTGTGACTCTTATCTCCAGTTAACCACTAGAAAACCGGAAATGGCCCTGTGGCTCAAGTGGTAGAGCACTCGCCTTGACCTGAAGAGTTCAGGGACAGTGCGCAGGCCCAGAGTTCAAGCCCCACGAGCGACAAAAAAAAAAAGAAAGAAAGAAAATAAACATATTTTGCTAAGCGAAAGAAGCCAGAAGGAAAGGACAACAGATAGCATGATTCCAGTATTTGAGATGTCCAGAATACATAAATCCACTGACACAAACATTGGTAAGGTAAGTAGTTACTGGGATGGAGGGTGGGCTAGAGGTGACATGAAAAGTAATAGTCACGAAAACTGTTGTGATGGATGCACAATTCTGGGAGCTAATAACCATTGAAAGTTATCTTTGGGTGATTTTCATGTGAATGACATCTAAGAAGGTTAAAAAATGACACAAGGGCCTTGGAGCATAACTCAGGGATAGAACAGATGTTTAGCCTGCTCAAGGTGCTGGTTTCAACTCCCAAGGGAGCCCATAGAAGGCAGATCAACTTTATGGTAAGACGTGACTTTTGAGGTTCCGCTGGACCTCTGGCAGAAAAGTGAATGATCTGTACCTACCTTTCACCCCTTCACCAAATGGGCCAAGGATCCTCAGCTTGGCTTTTAAGGACCCTTGCTTGGATTTTAAGCTGTTCAGAACTTTTGCAAAGCCATACAGTTGGGATTGGCGAAACTGTGGCTAAAACCCAGTATTGGACTTAAGAGTCTCTGACCATCACCCTCCCCCAGTAATGAAAGAGCTCCTGCCAGCCCAGCCCAGCCCAGCCCCATCAGTGGAAGCACTCACAGTGTCCAGGCCCAGCTCACCTGTAGCCCTCAGCACAGAGGCAGGAGTAACTGTTGACTTCGTCCACGCACTGGGCCCCATTCTGGCAGCGGTGGTCCCTGCAGTCATCCTGATTCTCACTGCAGTTGTCACCCGTGTAGCCGAGTGCACACTCACACCTAGGGGTGAGCAGGGTGGCTGGGAATCAGCCATGCACTCTGCCTGGCATGGAACCTCAAGTTCCAGTGGCTCTGTGGGGACGTCCCCGGAGGTTGTGCAGAGCCCTGAATACAAAGTCCCCCCAGCCTATCCTGAGCCTTTTCTAGTGTAAGAAGAAAGCTTGTGTGAATTCAGTGTCCTGGTCTGGGAAAGGAACATCCTGAAATGGGGAAATGAGAATCTTATCCCAGAAGACGCACCCTCACGACCCATTGCTCAGCCAGGGCCAACTTGCAGCCCCATCTAGACCTGCCTGCTCCTCAGCTGCTCTTTCCAGGTTCTCAGGACCCTCAGCTCAGGGTCCTACATCCATCATGTCAGCTTCCCCTCCTCCACAGACTGTTGGGCCCAGCCTCCTTTCCTTCTGCAAGGTTCATGCTCCCCCCAAAATGGGAGCCTTGGCCCCAAGCCAACTCCCATCTTCCTATCTCCAAATCCATTTTAGCTAACCAGTTGTGTAACAAATAAAGTGCATACTCCTCCATCCCCTTCCCACACACTAATTACATCCCTGCTTTCACAACTGAGGATTCTAGGACACCTTCTATGCTCTCTCTCTGCATGGTCCCTCCAGGCCACTACCTCACCTCTTCCAGGAAGCCTCCAGTGAACACCTAATCCAGCTTTGAGAAATCCCCTTATCTGAGCCCTGCTAAACCCCAAATTCCACGGTGTGACCACAGAACAAGCAGATCTTCCTTTGTGTATTACTGAACTCGCAAGGGACATCTAAGGTGAGCTCATGAACAAAGTACTTTGTGTTTCTGCAGCAAAAAAAAAAAAATCTACCTGACATTCACTGTGTGGGATGGCTAACAAGTGGAAGCAATTGCATGTGGGCGTGGCTCAGCCTTCCTTTCCTCACATCTCAGCTGAGCTTTGACCATCAGAGGGGCTTTTGATTTTTTTTTTTTTTGAACTGGGGATAAGAAGTAGTGCATCTGAGCTGGTGGCTCATGTCTGTAATCCTATATACTGAGGAAGCTGAGGATTGTGGTTGGAAGCCAACCTGGGCAGGAAAGTCCATGAGTCTCTTATCTAGATTTAACCACCAGAAAACTGGAAATGGAGCTGTGGCCCAAAGTGGTAGACCACTAGTCTTGAGCAAAAGAGCTCAGGGATAGCACCCAGGCCCTGAGTTCAAGCCTCACAACCAACAAAAGCTAACTAACTAAATAAAAAATAGTGAATTTGGAATGAATAGCTGTGGGTAAAGAATTTACCCACAGGGGCTAAGGGCTTTCCATGCACTTCCTCAACTAATCTTTGAACCATCCAGGAGGGAGCTACCACTGCACTCAGTTTAAGGAGAAAATAGATTCAATGTTGTGGCCAAGGGATCTGTTCAGAGTGCAGCTACAAACCCAAGTCTGTGTAGCCCCAGAGTGGTACCCAGAGCCACCCCACCCTCCCTCAGGAGCCCTGGATAGCTGAGAGCAACCCCAGAAATGGGAGGAATAGGAAGGGAGGGCAGAGGCAGAGCTCAGGCTACGGACCCTTACAACACTGACCTGGGCCCATCTGGAGTAGCCATACACTGGGCCCCATGCTGACATGGGTTCAGATCTCGGGAGCAGAAGTCCACCAGCTGTTCACAGGTCCTTCCTGAGGGGAAGGAACAAGAGGCAGGAGAGAAGCCAGGCCCAGCTGAGCCTGCTGTGAACACTACAGAGGCCCCAACTTTCCTGCCCGTGGCACGGGGCTCAGGGGTGTGTCTCTGGCCCCACCATGCTTACCAGTGTACTGCAGGGGACACTGGCAGGTGTAGTTGCCTACACCATCCACACAGACACCCCCATTGACACAGGCATGCTCCACACAGTCATCTGTGTTCACCCCACAGGTCGGTCCTTCGAAGCCAGTAGGACAAGAGCACCTGGGGAGCAGAGGGTGGTGTGAGGAAGCCTGTGCTGCTGGCCAGGATTATGATTCTATAGAGTTGGCCAGGCCCTTGCTAGGGGCTGAGAGAGATAGAAGTGAGCAAGGCATTTCCTCATAAGAGCTACTCACAGTCTAGTGGTAGACACAAAGAGGAGACTGGCCACCCAGGGACAGGTAAGGAGCTTCAGGCTGAAGGGACCATTGAAGCCAGGAGTGGATACAAGGGGGAGGGGTCAAGGGTAGTCCCTCCTGTCCAGGGATGGCCAGGCCTGTGTCCTAGGGAAGGTGATGAACTCACCTAACCATGGGGGTGGGAAAGAGGGACATGCAAAAACCTGAGTGACAGGGATGCCCAAGGGCAGAGGAAGAGACCTACTCCTCTGTAGTTCAGGACATCAGGGTCCAGGGATGGGGTGGGAGGGGTTTGTGTGAGCAGGAGACAGATTGATGGAAGTCCTAGAAGTCAGTATACATTCCCCTCTGGCACCCAAGGTTTCCCAAGTGGTATGAGGGGCACAAGGAAAAATCTGAGAAATCCTTTAGCTATTCCAAAGTCCGCACGAGCCCCTCCCTAAACAGACCTGGCCAGGACTCAAGAAAGGGTTAACAATGGGACTGCTTTGCTTGGTAGAAAGCCAGGTCTTGTAGGAACTGGGGAAGAAGTCAGGTGAGGACCAACCCCCTACTACCGGGTGCACCAGGCTGTAGGCTAGTAGGGGTGAGGGCTTCTCCTGTGCCCCAATTTGTGCCCAGCAGGGGTATCTCAGCCTCTGTGGACCCAGGATAGGAGCTTTCCTGGAGCTACTGAGCAATCTCTAAGGACCGCCCTATTGTCAGGACGCGTTTCCAAGGCAACACTGGGGAGAGAAGGCACTTAACGTTTTATTTTTCACATCATGTAATTTGGGTTTGCAGAGGCAGGCTTGGCCATTCTGTCGGTAGATTCAACATCATTTTCTGAAGAGCCAATTTGTTCTGGGGGCAATTTATTTTTAGCAACTAAATACTATGTATTCCCCAGAAAAGCTCTGGGAGATTAGTGGCGGCTGGGGGCTTAGGAGGGAAGCAGGCCGGTGGGAGGGGGTCAGATGGTAGTGGCAGCATTGGAAGGAGTTAAGAGATGCCATCACTCACTCAGGCCCCGTGCTGTGTCAGTGGAAATGGCCAGCTATGGTGGGGCCCAGTAAGCTGTCTTCTTCCTAGAGCGGTAGTAGGGTCAGTGGTGATGGGAGAGGGACCCAGAAGGGTGTCCAGAACTGGGCTCTACTTCAGGCCAGTTTCACACATACCGCGGCAGCATCAGCTGCCGGGGAGCTGGCAAGGGCCTGGCTTCCCTCTGCGCAATCAGGGACCTGTTCACTTAGAATAGAGGTTGGCATGGGGTAGGGGGTGAGGGATGGAAATATGTTTGAGTCTCAGTTGTGCCCCAGTCTTCCCCCTGGCACTGTCATAACATGCTCTTGGTTGTGTTTCCAGTGTGTAGACTCTCCTGGTACCTAGCAAGTGGGTAGCCAACACCAAGAAGCTGCAGGACAGGCCCCAAGCCCCAGCTCACAGTGTGTGCTGGGCTGTGTGACACTGGCTTTCCTCTAGGCTCCATCCCCAACAGGGTAGGCTTAGAGAGCCCTCCTGCTAGGTTTTGGCATCTGGATCTGCATCCTGTGAGCCAGCCCATCTCTTCTAGCATAGGGAGGCTTGGTCATCCCTTTGGAGAAGGGGGGTGGGGTAGGCAACAGGGGTTTGGGTGCTGGGCCCATCCTCCCCCTCCCCTGCCCCAGCTCCTCCAGCCTACTCACGTGAAGCCAGCTTCCTCATCCTCTAGGGCATGGCAGGTCCCCCCATTTCCACAAGGGCTGTTGGAACAGTTGTCCAGGAATACCTCACAGTCTCGGCCCTGAGGGGAAAGTCAGTAAAAGGGACTCCAGGGAGAATCTGAGATTAGTGTGAACCAACAACTGCACTCAGCACCACAGCTTCCCTGTCCCAGGAGCTACTTGTTCCTTCAATCACCCATCCTTCCATCTGTCCATCCACCCATCCATCTATTCATTCTCCCACTCATTCATTCATATATTGGGTCACTGGTGACAGTGCCACTCAAGTGTCTGCCCGCTGCCAGGCCTTGTGTGGGGCACTGGGGAATTACCTGACAAACCAGCCAGACCCAAGATCCTTCCCCTCCCAGCCTTGGCCTCCACTTACCTTGTAACCGCTGGGACAGGTGCACCTGTACACCTCAAGGGGGTCATTGTGGCAGATGCCCTGGTTCTGGCATGGGCTGGACAAGCAGGGATCACACTTGGCCTGAACAGCCAGAGTTGGGGGACCTGAGGGGATGGGGGAGGGCAAAGTGTTCGTATAGGGAGGAGAAGAGGTAGCACAGGACTGGGCTCAGACCCCTAACCCCAGAAGTCTGAGGTGGTGGGCACTCTCTTTCTAAGGAGACATATCCTCACTATGTGTCCTTGGAGTGATACTTGGACCTCCACCTCCCTCCTGTGCTCCTTTCCAGCCTCAGAACCTTCATCACAGGGTTGGAAGGACTGAGTGCTTGGCAGGTGGGCAGGTATACAAAAATGTCATCATTGTAAGAATGCACTGTCATTGTTACCGACACTGGCCAACAGTCCCTCTGTCCCTCACCCCCTTCTGCAGCAATCACCCCAGATGCCACCCAAAGACCAGGATAACGCCTCAACAGAGAGGCATCTGGGCATTCAGGGAGGTCACGTGGGGAAAGTCCAAATGCCTTGAGGTTGGTTGGTACGCTCCCAGCCATCTCTCTGGCTACAGCAGACTCCCCTCCAGTCCCTCCATGACTCAGTGGTTAGAGTGGTTAGAGGAGCCAATGGTTAGGCTACACGGACATCTCTGACTAGGGGCATGAGGACCTCAAAAGAAGAAATGGGAGAACCAGGCCAATTAACTTAGGCTTCCCCAGGGGCCTGGGGAAGGGTTCTGGACATGATGGCAAGCCACTTCTGCTGAAGAGGCATGGAGAACAGAAATGAAATCCTTTTCAGCGTGACGGAAGGATGCTAGAGGGACTTCTGGAAATAGGTGGATTCTGTTTCCTGATCCAGGTTCTGGGTAAGCCCAGTTAGTGAAGATTCAGTCAGCTCTTTCCTCCTCACCAATGTACTGCTTTCTCTCTCTCTCTCTCTCTCCCTCTCCCTTCCCCCTCTCATATTCAATAAAAGCTCTTTTAAAAAAAATCTCACAGCAACCCAGCCCTGGTCAGTAAATACTGGGCCCACGTTGGCATTTAGTAGCTTGTTGTCATCCACTAAACCAGACTCTCATACTAGGACCCCGGGGACAGCTTCCTGCACACAGGGTGGCCTGGGCCTCCTCATTGACCCATGGCTGTCAGTTTCATTTCTGATGGTGGCTTCTGAGCTTGCAGAGGGCAAGGGCCATGCCCCATGGTCCCAGAGGACTTCCCTCAGTGTCCCTTTCCCATAAAGCTGGGCCTGGGTAGCCACTCAGCCATCTGTCTCTGCTCCACAGGGCCTCTGGGGCTGGGGCCATCAGCCAGTCAGTCAATCGGTCACTGAACAAGTGTTTACAGATGCAGGCAGTGAGGAGCCTCAGGGCCAAGCCCAGGAGCTGCCAGTCACAGTCTGTTTTCTGCAAATGTCAAGACAGCAGCAGCTGGTCCGCCTGCCATGGCAGGGACCCAGGAGGGCTAAAGCTAATTGCAGAACACAATGCCTAGTGGAGGGAGGTCCAAGGGCTCAAGCTGCTGAGGGGCTGGGAGCTTCCGGAAGCACTGCTGCTATTTTTATTTCCCTTACATAACCATGGGGAGCTATTAAAGCTGTGACTGACTGAGATTTTTCTGCCTGGCTTTATTTTGTGTTATTGCTGTCCCTTGTATATCAGGACTGGAATAAGTAGCAACCTCATTCCTGTCACCTGAACCTCTCCCATCTGGGGGTGCAGTGGGGACACAGGGGTGTGTGGAAGACCCTGCCTCGCTGGGCTTGGCCAGACCTAGGAGCAGACAGAGAATCTGCAAGAAGTACCCCTTTTTCTTGTGCTCTGGACTCACCTTGGCATTCAAACTTCTTGGCAGGTGTTGTGAGCAGCAGTTTACCCTCCATGTCCTGAGGCCCTGCACACCGGGCAATGCCCGGTTCCTTGTAGCCAGTCTTTACCCAGCTGGACAGCCAGCGGAGGTGGCAGTCACAGTACAGGGGGTTGGCACCAATGGCCCTGAGATAGACAATGGAGAGAAGCGGGTATTACAGCTTGCAGGGTCTGTTACCCACCACTTGGATTATTGACTGTAACCAGTACCAGTTGTTAACTTAAACCTCAGCACTCTCTATCCCCACTCACAGGGTGCTTCCCTAACACCACACAATAAAAGTGCGACTAGGATTTGAACCCACACCGCTAGGGCTACAGCCTATGAACTCTGTGCATCTCGTAATGCCTCAGGGAGAAAGCCACCAGCATCCACTGCTGGGAGACGCACCCAGGTAAATTCTAATAACCTCATGTGCAAGTTTTCCTTTCTGCATGTACACAATGTAGAGCCTCAGCTAGGCACCGGTGGATCACGCCTGTGACCCTAGCTACCCAGGATGCTGAGATCTGAGGATCACCATTAGAAGCCAACCAAGGCAGAACGAGACTATAATTTCTAATTAACCAGCAAAAAGCCAGAAATAGAGCTGTGTCTCAAGAGATAGAGCACCAGTCTTGAGTTAAATTGCTGAGGGATAGCACCCAGGCCTTGAGCTCAAGCCCCAGTACTGGCACATATGCGCACGTGTGTGTGTATGCACACACACACGCATGATGTGGAGCCTTGGAGGAAATACATATATTTTTAAAATATAATTTAAAAATACATACATTCTAAAAATATAATTTTATTGCTATTACTAAGGTGTTGTACAGAGTAGGGGGAAAGACATAACTTCCCCGGGGATAACAACCAGTGAATGGCAGCTCCCAGATCTAGACATGGAGCGATTTTTTTTTTTTTTGGCCAGTCCTGGGGCTTGAACTCAGGGCCTAAGCACTGTCCCTGAGCTTCTTTTGCTCATGGCTAAAGCTCTACCATTTGAGCCATAGCACCACTTCTGGCTTTTTCTGTTTAGTGGTACTGAGGAATCAAATCCAGGGCTTCGTGCATGCTAGGTAAACACGTTACCACTAAGCCACATTCCCAGTGGTGGAGCTATCTTATTTTAATTTTATGTTTTGTTTTGTTTTTTGTTTGTTTGTTTTGTTTTGGGTCATGGGGCTTCAACTCTGGGCCTGGGCACTGTTCCTGAGCTCTTTTTGCCCAAGGCTCTACCACTTTGAGCCATAGGACTACTTCTGGTTTTCTGGTGGTTAATTGGACATGAGTCTCATGGACTTTCCTGCTCAGGCTGGTTTCTAACTGTGATCCTCAGATCTCAGCCTACTGAACAGCTAGGATTATAGGCCTGACCAGTGCCTGCCACTAGTTTTATTTTTAATTAAGCAAAGGACATATGAACGTTTTCTTATCATAAGTCCTTTGCATGCATTGTAGACAAAAACTCAGCATTTTTGTCGGTGGATGTATTAAGGAGCACTGAGCTGCACATTTTAAAAAAGGTTCATTTTTTTATTATGTGAAGCTCAACTTTTATACAGGTACATCATAATATTGTTGATGGGAATGAACAATGGTGCAACTTCTAGAAGCAAGTGTTGTGTTATTTATCAAATTACCAATGTAATTGTTTTTGGACTTAGCAATTCTGATTCTGGAAGATTCTAACAGATACACATATACATGCATTATTGCCCATGCAGGTCTGGCCTATGACCTTCCTACTTACACTACCTCCTGTACCTGGAAGAAGAGATGTGTACCACTAGTGCCTGAATTGGGGGTCTTGCTAACTTTTTGTCTGGGCTAACCTCAAATCTTGATCTTCCTGATATCTGCCTCTCAAGTAGCTAGTATTAAAGGTTTGAGCCACTGTGCCTGGCTGTGCTACTCTGTGTGTGTGTATATGCATGTGCGTGTGTGCATGCGTGCACATGCTATTCTTTGATAGAATCAAAGGGAAAAAGAAAAAAAAGACTAAGGCAGCAGTGTTCATCAGGGAGAGATTGGTTAAATAAACTTTGCTTTGTCCACATTGCAGAGAGAACAACCTACCCTCCCCGTCACTGCTCTCCACAGAGATACACACGGTGCCTGGCCAGTCCTCAGGTGTGCAGCCTCCAGGAACTTTTCCACACTGATACATACTGCTCTTTCTCCATTTCAGCCTTTCCCAGCAATGTGTTTCTTGTCACTAGACACCTGCCTTGGAAGTCTTCCAGATCAACATAGACAGATCCACCTCCATCTACATTTGTCTTACTGCCTCATAGTTTCCCAAAGAATGGCTAACCCTAGGTTTAATGCACAATTGCCCTGTGGCTGGATGCTGGTGATTGTAACATCAGTGAACACTCTTGTGCATGCCTTTTTGGGAGGTGAGAGTGTTTCTCTAGAAAAGAACTTCTCTAGAAGTTGGTCCACAGAAGACATGTCAGATGTTATCAGCTGCCCCCAGATGGACCTGCCAGCCAGCAGTCTATGGCCACACCTGCACCACACGGTACCGCGATCTTCCTGATGTATGGGCTAACTCAGTGGGAAAGCTGAGAATTATTTTTCTAACCTATGGTGAGTTGCAGAGATGAGAAAGTCATTTAGCTGTATACCAGTAATCTAGCTAATGAGGAGGCCTTGGTTTGAAGCCAGCCCCAGCTGACAAATCTGAGAGACTCTTATCTCTGACTAATCAGCCAAAAAGCAAAAACTGGAGGTATGGCTCAAATGGTAGAGTGTAAACTTTGAGCAAAAAAGCCAAGCAAAAGCCAGAGGCCCTGAGTTCAAGCCCCAGCACTGTTATATATGACAGGGATAGGAGGAGAAAGAGAGAGAGCACCAGAGCTATTTGATTCAGCAATTAAAAATCAGTGCCTTAGCCAGGCACCAGTGGCTCACACCTGTAATCCTAGTTACTCAAGAGGCTGAGATCTGAGGATCATGGTTTGAAACCAGCCCAGGAAGGAGAGTCCATGAGACTCTTATCTCTAATAAGCTACTCAGAAAAAGCCCGAAGTTGCTCTGTGGCTGAAGTGGTAGATCGCTAGCCTTGAACACAAAGAGGCTCAGGAATAGCATCCAGGCCCTGAGTTCAAGCTCCAGGACCAGAAAAAAAAGTCAGTGCCTTGTACCAGTTCATCAATATCAACTTTATTTTGAAACTGTAAAGCTGTCTAAAGTTAACATGCACTGGCATGTTCATTAAGTCACCAATGGATGTGTTGCCATTTTCTACTTATTTCTGGAATAACAGAGGAAGTGGACAGCTCCCAGAGATGCACATAGACTGATACAGGCAGTGCCTCCGAGTAGGAATTCCCCAAAATAGCACTGCTGACGCTATGCCATCTTACAAAACAGGCCACGCAAGACTTGGACTCCATTCCCATCACAGCTGCTCCTTGCTCAGGGGTGACTTTGAGCAGCTTGCCCCAAACCTCTGAGGCTCACTTTACAATTTAATAAAGAGCCTGCAAGCTAGAGGGGAGGAAAGACAAATACACATCATCTAGAATGGATGCCCTGGGAATCCAGGCAGGTACAAGCCCCTGACATAGGCTTAATTTTTCTATCTTCTGTACCAACAGCATCCATCCATCCTGACCACTGGTGAGTGAGACAATATCCTGGCCCCACTGAGCAACACTGGGGCCTCATAGACATGAAGGAAGGCAGATACTTTGAGTTTTAAATCTCCAGTGTATGGTGTATTTTGAATGCTCACACTCACCAGATATCTTTGTGTGTGTGTGTGTGTGTGTGTGTGTGTGTGTGTGTGGGCCAGTACTGAACTCAAGGCCTTGCACTGCCACTTAGCTTTTTCATTCAATACTAGCACTCTACCACTTGAGCCACATCTCCACTTCTGGTGTTTTGTTGATTAATTAGAAGTATGGGTTGGATTCATACCTCAATCTACAGATTTCAGCTCCCAAGTAGCTAGGACCACAGGCACGAGCCACTGGCTTCCTTCTCAATCATAAAAACCATGAGACACAAAACAAAACAAAACAAACCATGAGGCCAAAGCCATATAAAAGCTATCTGAAATCTTAGCTCGACTCGTTTCTGTATGAAGCAGACTCTCTGACCATGCTTGACTTCCAACATTTCAAACTTATCCAGGGCTGGGTTTTTACAGCTAAGGACTTCAAGGCTCTCTCTTCAGTAGTACTTCTAATTCACTTTCTTCAATGAAAACATCTTTGAGTACAATTTATATATGTACATCAAAAATGCTGAAAAAGGTTCAGAAGCTTGAGAGAGGATGATCATGATTTTAAGGCTGACCTGGGCTATACAGTAAGACCCTGTCTAAATAAATAAACAAATAAAAAGTAAAGGACAGGCCAAGGTACAGTTCAGTGGGAGAGCGCTTGCCTAGCTTTTCAAGGTCTTGGGGTTCCAGTCCTAGAACTTCAAAACAAAAGAAAACTGTGAACTCCATAAGGACTAGACATAATTGACTGACAGTTCAGTGGGGTTGGAGGACAGCAGGCAAGCCACTGGTCAGCCCAAAAGGAGTGTGGACTTAGGTGCACTGAGCAAAGTATAAATAGCCTCATGTTGCTGTGTTGTTGGTGTTTGGTGTAACATGGATGGAGCTGAAACAGGAGCTGTTGCCTGCTCATGCCAAGGCGCTGCCCGGCTTCTATTCATGGAATGCAGCCTCAGCCTTCTCCATGTAGACACTAAAATCTCCTCTGTGGAGCGCCCCCTCCCCCTAGGCAGTTTGTATCAGGACTGACTCTTTCCTCTGTACTTAGGCAGTATACACAGATCTTTGAGGCCAAGAACCACTATACCCTGATAGGCCAGATACTAGATGGCATCTGTGTCTGCAGAATGACCCTGCAGGGCGCATGAGCATGTAAACCCTCAGCGTCAAGGAAATATGAGAAGAAAAGAATCATCATCTATAATGTAATTGATGGAATTACATCCTCATACATAAATGTAATGGATGGAATTTTAGTGTTTATCCCCTTGTCTCTGTCTCTGTCTGTCTCTGTCTGTCTGTCTGTCTCTCTCTCTGCCTTTTTTTCTAGACAGAGTGCTCAGCCCTGAATTTATGATCCTTCTGCCTCAGCATCCTAAAAACCACTAGGAACAGAACTTTACAATTCCTGTGTACAAATTCATACAGCATGTTAAACATTTTATCCTGCATTTCATCAGCAAATAATTACCATTATTAAATATTTAATAATATTAAATATATTAACATATTTAATATATTTAACATTTAATATTTATTTTATATTATATTTATAATAATATTTAATTAAATTTAATTAATTGATTTAATTGATTAATAAATTTAATTATTTAATTAATAGTAAATTTAATTAAATAATATTTGTTTAAATATTATTTAATATTTAATAATATTAAACATATTAAATATTTAATATGTTCGGTCACACAGCATGCCACAGTTTACTTAATCATTCCATACTGATTGACACCTAATTTTGAATAAATTTGAGATCCAGCCTTCCAGCCGATGGCAGATTGTGCTATGCATACAGCAGCCGTGGGCCCAGGAGCCCTCGCAGAGGATCTAGCAGAGTTCAGACTTAAACTAGATCTTAATCAGACTTGAACTTTGATCTAGAATATCTTCTAAAGCCTGTGTGTTGGGGGCCTGGCCTCCAGCTGCTGGTACTAATGGGAGGTAAGGGCTAGGGTGCCTAGAAAGGGGATATTAGAACCTCATCCTCTCTTCTTCCTTTCTCTGCTCCAGCTGACATGGGATGGGCAGCTTTACCTGACACACTCCCACATGATGTTTGGCCTTACCACAGGTCCAAATGCAACACAGCTGGCAAACCATGGACTAAAACCTCTGAAATGGTGAGCCAAAGTAAACATTTCTGCCTTTTTTTTTTTTTTTTTTTTTTGCCAATCCTGGCCTTGAACTTTGGGCCTAGGTGCTGTCCCTGAGCTTCTTTTGCTCAAGACTGGCACTCTACCACTTGAGCCACAGTGCCACTTCCACCTTTTTTCTGAGTCATTTATTAGAGATAAGAGTTTCACAGACTTTCCTGCAAGGGCTGGCCTCCACTGTGATTCTCACATCTTAGCCTCCTGAGTAGCTAGTATTGCAGATGTGAGCCACTGGCACGTGGCAATATTTCTGTTTTTTAAAGTTGCTTAACTCCGGTATTTTGATACAAATAACAGAAAGCCGGCTACATGAATGGATTCATGACTCGACAGATGGATGAAAGATGGCCTAACTGAAAAATCAACATAAAGGTAAGTAGATGAAATTGGAACTCAGGACAGGGAGGAGAAGTCATAATCAGTATGATCCACTCAAAGCATTGAAAACAAACAAAAACTATCTGGGTACCAGTGGCTCACACCTGTACGCCTAGCTCCTCAGGAGGCTAAGATCTGAGGCTCCTGGTTCAAAGCCATACAAATCCAAGAGATTCATATCTCCAATCAACCAGCAAAAAGCTGGAAGTAGTAGTGGCTCAAATGGTAGAGCGGCAGCCTTGAATAGAAAACCTAAGCAAGAGCATGAAGTCTCTCTCTCTCTCACACACACACACACACACACACATACACACACACATGCACACACACCTCCACCACCACCACCAACAATAACAACAAAAAACTTAGAAATAACCTTTGTACAGGTGAGAGAAGAGGCCCTTGAATGCTCTGAAATCCCACTGCAAGAAGGACTGACTTAACGCTCTAAAGACTGGAATCCTGAATTATAGCCCAAAGGTCTCAATGTGGTGAACCCATCCTTCCTACTTCCCTCACTTCCACACTCTACGTCCACACCAACAGTGGGTAGGCGACAGCCCGACAATGTCTGGCTGAGAAGGGAGGGCCTCTCAGGAACACTAGCACTTTCCTAGCCAGGAACATGGAATATTAACTGACTTGGTATTATGCCATGGTACTTTCCTCCCTGGTTTCCATCTGGCTTTTGCGTATGGCTTTGTAAAGCCTAGGTAACACAGGGAGTCAATGCCATTCCCTTTCCACTCCTGACTTCTTATAGCTCTGCAGCACAGCAGAGATAATGGATGGATGGATTCCAGCAGTCTTTCCAGCACTTTCCAGGCTAATATTACTTCGTATTTTAAGCCCCAGGTATACAAGGCAGAATTGATTTATGGAGTCACTCCATTGGAGGAAATCTTTCATGTAGATGCTATGTTCTGTAAATATTGAACTTAGGTGCAATTAACAACCATACCTAATCAGGAAGAACTATGCCCAGTCCTACAATTATTGCCAAACTGATTTTTTAATTATTAGTTTATTTCTTATAAATTGGATTTGGCTTCAGGTTTGAGATCACTATACTCCAAAAGATATATCAAACTTTGGTTTTTCTGGTTTTTTTCTCTTTCTTTCTTTTTTCTTTCTTTCTTTCTTGTCAGTCGTGGGGCTTGAACTCTGGTGCTGGGTGCTATCCCTGAATTCTTTTGTTCAAGGCTAGTTCTCTACCACCTTGAGTCACGGTGCCACTTCTAGTTTTCTGGTGGTTAACTGGAGATGAGAGTCTCACAGACTTTCCTGCCTGGTCTGGCTTTAAAGTGTGATCCTCAGATCTCAGCCTCTTGAGTAGCTAGAATTACAGTCATGAGCCACCAACTCCTGGCTTCAAACTTTGTTGTACCTTTTGTTTTCTGTTTTTCTCAGAATATATTTTGTTTACTTCCCAGATTTACTTCTTGGATTTTTTAGAACTTAAAAAAATTATCATTAAGTAGTGACACAAAGGGGTTTTGATTTAACATTCAATTTATGAGTACAATGCTTTTTTTTTTTTTGGTCATGGGGCTTGAACTCTGGGCCTAGGCACTGCCCTTGAGCTCTTCAGGTCAAGGCAAGAGCTCTAACACTTGAGCCATAGTGCCACTTCTGGTTTTCTGGGTGGTTTATTGAAGTAAGAGTCTCATGGACTTTCATGTCCAGGCTGGCTTTGAACTGTGATCCTTAGATCTCAGCCTCCTGAGTAGCTAGGATTAAAGCGTGAGCTACCGGTGCTTGACTGTACAATGCATCTTGATCAGTGAGTGTTTCCCTCAAAACTTCTGGACTTTTGGCCTGGAGGCCAGATTAGAAAGTATTAATGTGTTATTAAATTCTCATGAGGAAAAAAATAAAGAGGAAAGAGGAGAGGTATCTAACTACACCATTAAATCCCATGCAACTGGGGGGCAGCATGGCTCAGAGGGTAGAGAGCTTGTCTAGCAAGGCCAGGCCTTGAGTTCAAACACAAGTACCACACACAAAAAAAATCCTAAGCAGAGAAGATGCACTTGGGGAGAAATGGAATGTAGGAAATGTAAGCGAGGTGCTTGAGAGGGCCCGGCCTGAAACAGGGAGACTGAAACAGATAACACACCACAGTCCTGAGGTTTTCAAAGGAGGCTGAAAGGGCCCCAGCTGCTGGCACACAGCAGAGGCTGCCCTCTGGAAAGCGGCATTTCCCATGTAGATCTTTAGAATTCTAAAGCTGGATGTCAACCAACACTGAGCTCAGATTTGGAGGCCTGACTCAGCTGCTAGAGCACCTGCCAATGAGCAGAAAGCAAGTTCTAGTTTGAGTCCCATCTTGGACTAAAGTGACAGAAACAAAAGCCAGCCCAAAATTGCATTCATAATTTAAAAAAATTACCAAGCACAGGTAGAAACAAGACCCTATGAATTTGAGTAAGCCAGAACAATAAGCAATCCTGTCCCTGCCTGGCTTCTGCCCAGAGGCTCTGCGGCCCATTAGACTCTAGCCTGACCTGTCCTATCCCCTCCAGCCTCAGAATTTCTAGGAGTTTTCAGTAACAAGTTTCTACCAATCCTTTCTATCTATAACATAAAACCCAAATTCCTTTACAGTGCAATTCCTACCCCAACCAGGCACCCTTTATTGTAACTGCTAAAAACCAACATCCCAAATACACAGCTCATTGCCTTGATTCCATGCCTTTGTGCTTGCCCTTCCCTCTTCCTGGATGCCCTTCCCTCCTTCTCTGAATGGCAGACTCACAGTTCCTCAATAGCCACACGCGGTACCTTCTCCGTGAAGGTCCTCAGACTTTTCCTGGAGTTAGTCACTGTTTCCTTCAAATTCCCTTCACAATATTTGGCTAGTCACAGAGGGCAAAGAGCATGTGTTCATAAATTCCTTAGCATTTGACTCACTCTGTTTTCATAGAACATCTTTATGGAGGCAAAAGAGTCAAGAATCAACACAAGCTTTGGAATCAGACACACCTGAAATTCAAACTGTCATTTTCTAGTTTAATGGCCTAGAAAAGCTGCTTAACTTTTCAGAATCGAGGACTATAAGTGAAAATGAAAACAACTAACCCAACCAACCAGGATACAGTTTCTTTCCCCTCCCACTATCATGGAAGACATCACTAATCAACCACTGCACTCTTCCTACTGAGTCCAGTCCAGCCCTGGAATCTTTATAGTTCCTGCCAATTCTACAGAGCTGGTATAAACACAAGATCTACTTGCTATGTTGGCTGAGGAATAAACGGAACACCACTGATGAAGCGGATAGAACAGTATTTGACCCAAGCAGGTCCTCCAGAAGTGGCCTCTATTATATTCCCGCCGGTCTAAGATGGTCAGATACACCATGAAGTAATATGCTTTGGGAGGGCTGAAGAACCATTACATATTAAACACATACAACATTTTAAAATATACTCTGATTTTAGAGATTGAAATGTGAGAAAGGTAAACTCAGAACTGGGAAGACCTAGTGAGATGGTTGAGTCATGAACTTCAAGGACAATGGGAACCCCCAAAGCTCTCTGATCTGGGTTTGCCTGCCCACTTAGGCCTTGGGGTGAGATGGAACTGAGGGTGATGTAGAGAACTAAAGGGATAAGTCACCCTCAGTCCATGTGGACCAGGCCAGGCACACTGCCCTAAGAGTGTCGAGAAATACCTGGAGCAAGGCACTGGTGACAGATGTCTATAATCCTAGCTAGTCATGAGGCTGAGATCTGAGGATTGTGGTTGAAAGGCAGCCCAGGCAAGAAGTCTGTGAGATTCTTATTTCCAATTCACCACCAGAAAACTGAGCAAAAGAGCTCAGGGACAGTGCTCAGGCTCTGAGTTCAAGCCCCATGACCGAAAAAAAAAAAATGTCAGGAAAGACAATAGCACTGTGCCCCATCACACCTCCGGAGTGAAGATGTCCCTCTCTCAGTCCTTTGCTTCCTTACTTCTTTGGGAAAAAAATACATAAAATTTGCAAGCTGGGCATGGTGGTACATTCTTATCATCCCAGCACTCAGGAGGTTGAAACAGGAAGATCATGCGTTTGAGGCTAGTCTGGGCTACAGACTACCAAAAAAAGTTGCATTTTCACCATTTCAAGTGTATAATTCAGCATATTGATGATATTCATAGTATTGTCCAACCATCACTGCTATTTCCAAACTCCATCACCCAAACAGAAGCTGTGCTCAGAAGTACTAACTCCCAGTATCTTTACAGCCAGTTCCTGGTAATCATAATTCTACTTTCTGTCTCTATGAATTTATTTGACTCTTCAGGGTTCTCTACCTACACAGAATCATACTGTTTGTTCTTTTGTGCCTGCTTGTTTTCACTAATCATGTTTTCAAAGTTTATCCATGTAACATGCATCAGAACTCCTTTATTTTCATAACTACACCCCACTGTCTATATATGGCACTTGTAGTTCATCCATTCATCTGTGGGTGGACATGGATTGTCTGCACTTGAATTATGACAATGTTATAACAGCACTGACCAGTAAGTGCTTATTTGAGTCCCTGTCTATTTCCCCTCCTGATTCCATGGCAGACATCACTAATCAATCGCTGTACTCTTCCCATTGAGTCCAGAGTAGCCCTGTGTTATTTAGTATGGTGTTCAGCCTAAGGGTGGAATTGCTTTGTTTTCTAGTTGGTAGAATGACAAGCATAGGGGTTTAGGTTGTTGAGGAATCAAGCATAATACTTCTAGACATTACTCATGTCATGACACCAACCAGGTAAATATCTTGAGTAGCAATTCTATATCAATTATGCTACTTTGGAAGGTAATGAGCTTCTGGTGTGAAGTTAGAAGCGTAACCCTGGTGTAGTTCCTAGCATGAGCCACCTACCATCTGTGCAGTTTAGACAAACCTCTCCTTTTCTCTGGGCCTGTTTGCTCATTCTCTGAGAGAGGCTAACAGTACCTGTGTCACAGCATCATGGTGAGGGTCACACTGGCTGGTGCAGGTGAAATGAGAAGCAATTACAAATGCTTTTTCTTACCACCTTGTAAGGAGCTATTGTCCTTCCCCATTGTTGTGGCCGGGGAACCAGTGAGTGTGTAAAGAGACTGAGAGGTTGTGTGTATGTGGGAAGTTCATAAGCTGATTCCAAGATTAAGGCCACGAGTTCTGACAATCTGAGAGGCTGGCTCTCCCTCAGAATCCAAGTTCTGTTTAAACCCAAAGAGGCCCGGAGAACTGGGCTGGGGCTACTTACAGGTGAGACAAGGATGTCACATCTGCGAAGATGCCCTCTTGGAGGGTGGAGATGCCATTGCCATGGAGGGATCTGAAAAGAAAGCGGCTGCTGGTGTCGGGCTCTGAAGGAGGGGCAAGCCCAGTCCTCTGTCTAGAGGGCATCATGCCCTCTGTCAGTCATGCTGTGAGGGAAATGTTCCTCAACTCAGCCTAGAGATATTCTCCCTCCCCCCACCCCGACCCCGCTGGCCCTAGCAAGGGAGAGGAAACCCTTACAGTCTGGGGACCAGCCTGTCCCCAAGTCCTTCGGGATGACTCGCTTTTTGCCATCTAACAACTCAAGCACAAGTTTATATCAGACATAGGACACATGTCTCCATACGCCCTCCCTCTCTTAGCCAGGGAGCCTGAGGTAGAGCAAGCTTTGTCTTGGTAAGGCAGTTAATACACAACCTGTAGGTGAGAGCTAGAGACGGGCCACTGTGACCCCAGTGGTTGGCTGGAGCCAGCATAATAGATATAACAGAAGGTTCAAACACCTCACTGAGGGAACTTGTAAGAAAAGGGTCAAAGAGCTCTTGCAAACAAACACTTTCAGTTTTAAGTGACATCTTATATGCAAATGAAGGGCCACCTTACTGTGGACACCCCTCCCCTTCCACACTCATACATACACCTCTATGTCCACTCCCTTCTGTAAAGGTTTGCTTGAAGGAGCATGTTCTGGACTCCTTCGATTGGACATAGCGCTGACCACACTGGGGTTCAGATCTGAGGACCTTTCTGCCCAGCAGGTCTGTGGCAGGGCCCAAGGTGGGGCTGATTTCCTAGAGGAATGAACTGTAGGGAGACTCACAGCAGGCGCAGAGAGCGGAGACCCTGGAAGGCCAGAGGCGGGATGCACTGGAGGGCGTTGTAGCTGAGGATCCTGTGGGGAGGAAGGAGGAAGCTAGCATGGAGAAGAAAGTAGTTCTACCTTCATCTGATAGGGGAGCAAAGGAGGCTCTAAGTGGTGAAAGAACTTCCCCGGGGTCATATGTTTTGTTTTTGTTTGTTGTGGGGTTTGAACTCAGAGAGCCTAGGCGCTGTGCCTGAGCTTTTTCACTCAAAGTTAGCATTCTACTGCTTTGAGCCACAGCACTACTTCTGGTTTTTTGGTGGTTAATTGGAGATAAGAGTCTCACGGACTTTCCTGCGCTGGCTATCTTTGAACTGTGATCCTCAGATCTCAGCCTCCTGAGTAGCTAGGATTACACATGTGAGCCACTGATGTCTGGCAATAAAACGATTTCTCAGTTACTAAGAGAAATGAGCCATCTGCAGCAGAAGGAAAGATCCATCCATCTTTTGGCTGCCAGGGTTGCTAAGCCAGGATTTCTCAACCTCAGTTGACAACTCCTGTGCTTCTAGGTACTTAGGGATGCTCGGCAGTCTTCCCGGCCTTTACCTACTACACACCACCAGCACCTTCCTTCACCTCCTGCTTGTGACAATAGCAACATTCTCAGTCAATGCCAAATGTCTCTAGAAGGTAGGATCTGAGGCTGGGAACACAGCTCTGGGTTAAGGTGGCTTTACTCCCAGGGCCCCTTCCAAGGCTAAATTTCAGCAGGAAGGAATTATCACTAGGTTGTCATTAATACCAGGAAATGAGAACCTGATGACTAGCAGATCCTGAGGGCAGACAAATGCCCCCTGTCCTGCCAAATGTCCTGGGCCCACACTCTGCTCGTGGAGGCCCGGACCCTTCCTTTCCCAGGGACTGGCTCCACTCTGTGACCTCCATAGCCCCTAGGGAAAACTCCTCAGTTCTTGATACATATTGTATGAGACAGGTGTTGGGGAGGGAAAGAAGAGCCATCTTATGCATCGGGCAAATACAAGGGATGCTGGTCCAGGCCTCTGATCACCAGCTTGGGATAGAATTCCGGCCAGCATAAGACTTTCCTAGACTTAGGGCATCAAAATGTTCAAAGGGTCCCTGCTCAGGAGTATCCAGACTGAAGACAATTCCAATACCACAGTAACAAATTGGATGAGGAAAATATGGAATGTTCCTGCAAAGGAATGGTACGTCGACAATTTTTGTACTTTCCCATAGATGTGTTGTATTTCACAATAGAAGAATGCATTTTACACTTGATCTTAGCCGAAAGACTAAGAAACAGTGGCGACATTTTTAAAAGTCTTGCAGTTCTTGAGCCATTCTGGCAGATGAGTCTGCCAGTATAGTGTGAAGCATGGTCCCCATCTCCCCCCCCAACCCCCGCCCCCATCCCTGCTGGGACTCACAGAGTGGTCAGCTGGCTCATATTGGTGAAGGAAGAATTGCTTAAAGAACTGATCTTGTTGTTGCTCAGGTCCCTGAAAAAGCAAGAGCATCCTTGGGGGAAAAAAGAACTCAATCTTGACCTACTTCAGGAAGTTGCCTTACTATTCTCACTGACAGCTGCTCCCCGTGGCCCCAGGGTCTCCCCTCTCCAGAAATCTCTTCTGGAAGACATTCAGTGAAGCCAACCTGGTGCTCCTTGCTCCCCTACAACCCCAAAACATCCATCTGGTATCACATATGTGCCTCTGACCATGTTTCACACCTGCCTCCTCTCCTTAAGTGTCTGTTGTCTGTGCCAACCAGCCTCATCTCCCCCTGGTTTCGATCTTGGACTCTTAGCTCACCTTCTCTGGGGTGGACACTGCGTTACTGTTTCTATGACACAAATCTGCCCAGTCATGTCCTTAACAAAAATCCAGATCTCTTCTGCCTACGGATCAAATTTTGGCCCTGCTACCACCCAGGTACTCCTGGCATTACCCTGATTTACCAAACTTCTTGAAACTCTTAGCATCTTACACCTCTGTGCCCTGGACATCATGTTTCCAGGGTCCACTGACCTGTTTTCCAAGATGCTCCTTGCCCTGGCTCCCACCCCAGGTTCCTCATGCTTTTCTTCTGTGAGGCACAGTTCTCACCTGCATTCCCTTGCTGGATCCTCATCACTTTCCATGACTTTAGGAGCTCCTGTCCCTCCATCTTTCCTGCATCCTCCCTAGACCATAACCATCTAGGGGAGGCCAGTGACCTACAGGCCTTCATATCTGCCTACTGCATACAGCTTTTGGCTCCAAAACATTGGAAAACAATATGCTCTGTTTTTGTCTCTTCCTAATGAACCTTCTTCTAGCCAAATGAAAACTTCTGGTGTTGCCAGAAGCCTATTCCAGCCCTTCCCTGAAGTCCTTTCTTGTGATGGTGCATTGGAGGCATTTCAGCCTTGAAGAGGCACTGGAATGATCTACCTGGCATCTGTGCTCGGTCCCCTCCTCAGGAATATCTGGGCGACTGGTATAGCTGCCTTGGTTCAGACAGCAGAAAGGCTGGGGAACTTATGAGGTCTCTTTTCCTAGCACTCTAGCAGCAGCCCTAGACACTGTGTTCCAGCCGTACCCCATTAAACTGCTGAAAACACACTTTCAAGTTCACTAAGGAAAGACAGATGAGTTGGAGTTACTGAATTCTATGTACCAGTGATTCATACAAGCCAATCTTTGACCTATTATCAATCCACAGCCAGGACTGTTCTCATAGCAACCTTCTCAAGGGGGGAGCAATGTGCCAATTTACACTAGAGAAAGTTCCTAAGAACGGATGTATCACAAATGGTCTCGGGCAAACATACATGCTGTATGTAAGAGACTTCTCTCCAAGCCACACTAAGATGGATTTTCTTATGGCGGCCAATGAGTGATGTACTAAATAGCTGACCCTCTAGAATTAACAGAGGCTATTTTGTATACTTCCACAGGATGAAGGTGGTAGACAAGTCTTAGTTATCAACATATAAGGGCCTCACTTCATATTTGGCTTGGGACCTGAGGCTGGACCAGGAAGTTTCCCATCACCCTCTACTCTTACCTGACTCTTGTCCTTGAAGCATTACCCACATGAACAACAATCAGGGAGAAAGGCTTGGGGGAGTTGGTGTCTGTAAAAGTGAAAAGTTGGACCCAACATGGCCTGGAAAGATGCAATTCTTAAGTATGGCCACAAGGTGGCAAACCAGTGCCAAACACAGGTGTTTTCTAAAGGATGGATTTTTCAAACAGGTCCAGGCCCAGAGTTGGGGTTTATAGGGAGGGAATTCCTAGATAGTTGAAGCCATAGTAGTGAAGCAGACCTGGAGTTCTCAAGCCTAGATACTCACACAAGCTGCAGGTACTTGAAGGTGGACAGCTGTCCCGGAACCAGCGTGAACTGGTTCCCATCCAAATAGCTAAGAGAGAACACAGAGGTGAGTGCACCCCTCCCCCACGGTCACCCACATTTACATCCATGTTTACTGGTGTAAACGCAGATATCAAACCCACAGCAAGAGGCGCACACCACACCATGCGGTAAAGCGGAGGGGCAGGCGACAGGCAAAGCTGCTTCTCTGCAGGGCAGCTGAGGTGCAAAGGAGCAGCTTTTACTAGGAGGCCCCGGGCAGAGGCAGCCAAAGGACATCCACCTAACTGCCCTTTATGAATGTAACATAAATGGAAATATCTCAAATCTCCAACAAAAGGGGGTTTGTTATCTCAGCCATAGTCAACTCATGCCACTAGTAAAAAATCACATTTGTATGAGTTTCCGGGACAGAGGAGAATTTCATGAGATGACATTAGAAAACATAATGTTGTTTCTCTTTTCTTTTTTCCAATGCCAGAATAGGAGGCTTGAACTCAGAGCCTGAGCACTGTCCCCCCTTTTTTTTTCACTCAAGGCTTGCACCCTATCACTTGAACCACAGCTCCACTTCTGATCCTTTGGTTGATCAGTTGAAAATAAGAATCTCAGGGGCTTTTGTGCCCAGACTGGACTTTGAACTGCAATCCTCAGATCTCGGCCTCTTGTGTGAGCTATCTGCACCTAGCTTATGTTATTCTTTATTTCATTTTAAAAATTATCTTTAGTAGTTGCACAGAGGGGTTTCCTTCAATTCAACATGTCAGGTTATGAGAACAATGCATCTTGATCAATGTCACCCCAGCATCATTCTCCCCCCATCTCTTGAAACCCCACCCATCCCTCCAAGTCACCTGGTGGGAAGGAAGAGCTTAGTTTAAAGGGGTGAAGCCCTGCCAGGAGGACTTGTACAGGGAGGGAAGTGGAACCAGAGCTGTGTGTGAAGCCCCAACCTTCCTCCCAGTCAGCCCTACCTGCTCCTACATATCCTTCCCCCCTCCCTGCCTTATGCCTCCCAACTCTGAGGAAACACCCCCTACCTTACAAGAGGAGGCAAGGCTTAGGGCTACTCACAGTTCTGTGACATTCTTGGGGATGCCCCTGGGCAGAGCCTGGAGGTGCTTATTGCTGCATCTGACCACGGTGTCCAGACAGGCACACTCCTGGGGACACTGGGGGCGGGGCAGGCAGCTCCCCTCCTCCTGACCTAGGGAGAAAGGTACAGTGTCCTGGTTCGGCTTGGGTCTCCTATGGGCTGGGCCAAGCTGCTGGCACCAAAGCAGAAGCCCATGTCTGACAGTACCTCAGCCACCGTGCAGTCTCTTTTGCTGCTTGCATATCATCCCCAGCACCAAGAGAGGACAACTCCTAGAGAAGCTTCACAGGTAAAATAGGCCCAGGCTGATTCACTCCTGCCTCAAACCCACGTTGGGCCTGAGCAAGGCAGGAGAGGAGGATGCAGCCACACTTTTTCTTCAGCAGCTACTGCTGCCTCACATGGTGCCAATGCAGTGAAATGTTGCCATTATCACCCCCTAGGATGCACGCAGTGAGGGCAGAGAGTTGTGTCCCTATTTTCTTATTTGTTCCTTGAAAAAGCCCAGAACCCAGAATAATGCCAGCAGCAAGCAGCCAGCCAAGTAGAGTGAGAGAGAATGAATGAATGAATGAATGAATTTCTACCTCACTGAGCTCTGCAGGGGTTGAATGGTTTGTCATAGACTGGCCAGAAGCTTATAAGGTCTGGGTCCAGGTTTGGCAGATGTAACCTTGACCACCAGTTCATCAGTCCATTCAGTTACTCACTAAATATCCCTCATGTTCGTAGCTCATGCCTGAAATTCTACTGACTCAGAAGGCAGAGATCTGAGGATCCTGATTTGAAGCCAGCCCAAGTAGGAACGTGTGAAACTCTTATTTCTAATTAACTAACAAAAAGTAGAAGTGTGGCTGAAATGGTAGAGCATCAGCCTTGAGAAAAGAAAACAAAAAGCCAAGTGAGAGCACAAGGCTCTGAGTTCAAGCCCCAGTACTGGGATAGAAAGTCGGTCTCATTGCATATGGAGGACAGGATGACCCCATAAGCCTGGAGCAGCCAGCCAAGAGTAGATCTGAGTTAAACATGCACAAAGAAAATACACTGTAATGTTTCTGTGACTTTCCCTGAGTAATGAGGTATAGGTAATGTTTCTTCCTTCTATCTACATCTGCTATTATTATTATTATTATTATTATTATTATTATTATTATTATTATTTTGGTGCCTATCTTGGGGCTTGAACTCAGGGCCTGGGTGTCATTCCTGAGGTTTTCTTGTTCACGGCTAACACTCTAAGACTTGAGCCACACACAGCTCCTCTTCTGGCTTTTTAGGATCAATTGGAGATAAGAGTCTCACGGACTTTCCTGGCCAGGCCGGCTTTGAACCACAATCCTGGTTCTCAGCCTCCTGCATAGCTAGGATGACAGGTGGGCAGATGGGATGCATATTATTGGCCTTATAATCAGAGGCACCTCTGGCCAGAAGCATCTCTCGCCCTTCCCCAGGACTAGTGCCTCCCCTTCCCCACCTTCCCCCATTTCCTGGGGCTCCAAGAAGGTGCTGCCCACCACCCCTCATCCTCCGTACCTGTCGCCCTTTCCCTGCCGCCCGGGGCCATGAGTTACCTTCCTCACACCTGAAGTCAGGGAACGCCACATCCTGCAGGGGAATCTGCCGCAAGAAGTCTGGGTTCTGGCACCGGGGGTTCCCTGTCACAATCTTCCTCCTCCGCAGCCAGTCGCCCAGCCAGGCCAGCTGGCAGTTACAGTTGAAAGGGTTGGCCAGGAGGTTTCTGGAAAAGTTGAGAGGCGGCCATGAAGACACCCTGCCAGTCTCAGTAGCCAGGCCCAGGCCTCCCTGCCCACCACCATAGGATCTGCCACCTGTCCACTCAACACTTCTTCCCAGACCACTCACAGCTGCCCAGAGGATCGGCATTCGGAAGCAGAGACAGAAGTGGAATGTGTGGAAGCCACGTTCTACCCCTCCCTCCAGGTAAGACCCCAGGCCATTTCTGGGAGATGATGGCAGCTCCTGGGGTCCAGGTGGCACCTTCAGGAGCCCCCCCGCTTGCATGTCTCCTGGAGCCAAGACTTACAGCGTGGAGAGGGCCTGGAGGGTGTCGAAGGCCCCGGGGGAGATGGTGGTTATGTGATTGTCATACAGTGAGAGGAGGCGGACATTGTGCAGGCCTGTGAAGCTGTCGTTGTGAACACAGCTGATGCGGTTGTTCCTCAGCATCCTGGGGGAGGAAGGGAAGGGCCATAGGAGGGGAGGGGAGCCCTGGGCTGGACCCCCTCCATCTGCTTGGGTCCCGAGGGGACAGCCACCACCAGCTAGTTCAGGATGCTCCTATAGAGACACCGAGCCACAGAGGGGCACGTGACACCTGCCAGGGCCCATGCACACCCGTGCTGGCCTCCAGAGCATCCTGTCTCTAGGTATACCATGGCTCCGCCTCTCCTCTCCATCCCATAGCTCAGCCCCCTCCATCGTGCCTTCACTCCCTGTGGCCCAGGCTGCCTCCCATCTCTAGGCCACACCTGGCTTAGCTACGATAGTTCTGCAATGCTCTTTCTCCTTGCCTCTATCTGGAACCCACTCTGTCCATCCGCAGAGACCCGGCTTAATTCCCCACCACAAGCAGAGATGACCCCTAAGCAGTGTGAAATTCCTGCCTGCCAAACTGAGGAAGAATTAAGGCTATGGTGATACTAACAGTGATGATGATGATGTGGGGAACAAGATGTGGGGAAATGGGTCCTTTCATGCACAGCTGGGAAGATGATGACCTGGGAACTCCCTAGATATGCATTTGGTTAGATGGCTGGGCGTTGATGGCTCATGCCTGGAATCCTAGCTACTCAGGGGGATGAGCTGTGAGAATCTCAATTTGAAACCAACCCCAACAGAAAAGGCCATGAGACTCTTATCTCCAATTAACCAGCCAAAGTTCAGATGTAGAGGTGCAGTTCAAGTGGTAGAGCACTACGTTGGTACAGCCAAGAAAGGATGAGAAACTCTGAGTTCAAACCCCAGTACCAGCACATCTGCGTGCGCACACACACACACACACACACACACATACACAGACTACAAAGGTACTTTCTGCTTCTACCAGCTAGACTACCTTGAGGACATCTTCGTAAGAGAGTACTTGTGGCTGGACTCTGGATTTGTGATAAAGATACTAATTGTGTCATTGCTCAAAATTTAAAAATTGCAAATCATCAAAATCGATCGCAGTGATATGGTAGATGGTTGTTAAAGCTGCTGATGTAGGGCAGGGGTGGTATCTCAATGGTAGAGCACTTGCCTCTCTCACCCTTACCCTTTCCCTTTGGACTACACACCCACCCTGTGGCTTGGCATATTTGCACTCACAGGGTGCGCAGGCCATCCAGACCCCGGAACATGCCACTCCGGATGGACTCGAGTTGGTTGGCGGTCAGATGCAGTTCACTGACAGAGGACGCGCCCTCAAATGTCCCATCTTCAATTTCTGATACCTTGTTGTTGCTCAGGTTTCTGCAGGAGGAGAGGGGAGGGGGGTGGGATGCTAATCACCGGTGTGCAGAAGCCCTCTCCCTTCCCACACCAACCACCACCATGCATGGGAGCCCCTCTCCCAGCATTTTCCTCTTCATTTCGGTCTAGCATCCTGACAAGCATCTTCCCATGCACTACCCAGCAACTCACATTTTCTTCAGGTGTGTAAGTTTCTTAAACATCCCTGTGGCCTCCAGGATGGAGATGTCATTGTTGTTCAACCGCCTAGAAGAGGCATGGAAGAAAATACACACCAATGAAGCGGGGAAGTAAAAACAGCTCCCCATTGAGACTACGGGGTTCCAACAGAGGGATTCCAGGGAGGACTTCTTCAGCAAAGCCTGGCACTGGGGGAGAGGTAAATAGGTGTGTGTTTGTGTGTGTGTGCACACACATGTGTGCGCATGTGTGCTAGTGCTCTACAATTTAAACCATACCCCTAGTCTGTGAAGAGGACTTTTTGTTTTTGTTCTTTGGTGTGGGGCTTGAACTCAGAGCCTGGGAGCTGTCCCTAAGCTCTTTTTGCTCAAAGCTAGCACTCTACCACTTCAAGCCACAGCACCACTTCTGGTTTTCTGGTGGTTCATTAGAGATAAGAGTCTTACAGACTTTCCTGCCCAGGCTGGTTTTGAACTGTGATCCTTAGATCTCAGCCTCCTGCATAGCTAGGATTACAGGTGTAAGCTACCAGTGCCCAGCTTCAAGAGGATATTTTTAACATTTAAAAAATTCCATGCAAACTTGCATACATATAAATGATATGTAATTAGGTATCTCTGTATACATACTATATGTGTGTGTGTGTGTGTGTGTGTGTATATATATATATATATATACATATATATATACATATATATATATGTATATATATATATATATACATATATATATATGTATATATATATATATATATATACATATATATATATACATATATATATATGTATATATATATATATATACATATATATATATACATATATATATATGTATATATATATATATATACACACACACACACACACATACACACAAATTCTTTGTTTGATTTTTGTTGTTGGTGGTGGTTGTGGGCCTTGAACTCAGGACCTAGGCGCTATCCCTGAGCTCTTTTGCTCAAGGTGAGTACTCTATCACTTTGAATCACAACTCCACTTCCAGTTTTTGAGTGGTTAGTTAAGGATAAGAGTCTCACAGAGACTTTTCTGCCCAGGCTGGCTTTGAACTGTGACCCTCAGATCTCAGTCTTCTGAGTAGCTAGGATTAAAGGCGTGAGCCACCATCACCCAGCTCTTCATTTAATTTTTGCGTCAGGGTCTTGCTATATGCCAGGTTGGCCTGAAACTGGCCATCCCACTATCTCAGCCTTCCGAAAGCTGGGTTACAGGTGTGCATCACTACACTCAATATAATTCATATTTTTAGATAAAGAAGAACTATCAAAGACATCATAAGCTCCAACTTTGGCTAAGGGAATCATGTCCCCTAAAGACAAAATTTTCAGTGAAGAAAGCCCCCCCTGGTTCAGGGGCTTTTTGAGAGCAGCAGAGGCAGACACAGAGAGCCTTAAGGGTGATCCCCAAAACAGTGCTGGCCCAGAGCAAGGCGAAGCTTGCAGGGAGGGCCAGTGGGCGCTGGGCAGGGCGGGCAGGCAGAGGGCCTCACAGCTCGGCCGTGGACTGGGGCACGCGCTCGGGGATCTTGGACAGCTTCAGGCTGGAGCATTCCACCACACTGGCCTCACAGCGGCACTTGTGGGGACAGGTGACATCGCTGCTGCACTCGCTGTTCAGATGATAATCTTCGGTGCCTGTGGCGAGAGGCAGGCTGGGCTAAGGATGTGGACGGTCTCCAGGCAGCTGTGGTGACCCCAGGGACACCCAAGGTCCTTAACCAGGCCACCCACTGCCATCGTCCCCCATCCCTGGCTGGCCTGGGTCCCTTCAGTCTCCTACCTGGGATGAAGTACTGCTCTTTGGCTGGGAAGAGAAACAGAGACACACGATGTAGGAGCATCAGGCCCCATCCCTATCCCAGGATGCATCTGGAGCCTTGCATCTCCCCTCCCCCATCGCAGCCCATCCACCCTGCATACAGAAGGCTTTCCAGAGCACTTGTGCCCAGGCCAGTGCTGGGCAGCAGCACACTCCCATTAAGCCTCTCACTTGTAATGGTACAGGTAGACACTATGACAACATGGATGAAGGATATTGGGCCAGGGTGGCGTCAGGCCCCAGGACCAGATCCAGGCTCAGAAGTCCAACCCACACGGTCCCCTACCAGAGATCAAGTAAAGTGCTGAGGACATATCACCCCAAGGCCTGGGGAGGTTTCTATCTCAGTGCAATGCCTCAGGTCTCCTAAGTGTCCTGTGGGACTTGAGAGCAGTGACACTCTAGAGCTGGCCTGGGAGCAGGCGGCCTGGACACTCTCTCTGGGCCCTCAGTAAGTCTGTAGTAAAATGAAGGGTGGGGCAGACAGCCATTCCCATTGGTCAGCGAGGCTCTAAAGTGCCCAGGGAGACCCTCCTTGGAGCTGCCCAAGAACCGGCAGTCAGGCAGCCTCTACCTGAGCACCGGAATTTCTTGCTCTTGATCTGCCCGATGCGCTTGTTGGCCAGGCGCCGGGGGCTGGCGCAGCGAGCCCCACTGGTCTCGATGGGGTTGGTGCGCAGGAAGTCCGCCAGCCACTTGAGGTTGCAGTCACAGATGAAAGGGTTCTGGGCCAGATGCCTGTCAGAAGGGCGCAGATTAGTCATAGAGACCAGCACCGAGCACATGTGACCATCTAAGGCTGAGACCTGGGGTTGGCCTTGGGAGAAGAGGGGGTTGCTGACCACCAGGGGGCACCCTGAGACCTGTGGAGATATCTCCTACATCACATCGGGGAAGGACCTTTGGGGCTCGGGACTTGTTAGAGGAAAAAGCTGGCCTCCAACTTCCCACTGTCAAACCCTGGATATTTCACAAGCATGAAGGAAGGAAGGAAGGACCCAGAGTCTGAAGAGAGCACCAACACTGTGTCCAGGAGAACAAGGAGGTTTAGAGAGGATGGCAGTGCAGCATGCCCAGTGTGGCCTTTGGTTCTCCCCAGCAGCCCTGGACCCTGGGCCCAGGTCCTGCAGACCTGGCAGCCCCAGCCATCATCTGGGAGAGCAAACAGGGTCAGGTGGCAAGGCTGGGCCTATCAGAGTCTCTGGGGCTGCACGAAGACTCACCATTTCTAGGCTACTTCTCCTAGAGCAGTCTTTTGACACAGGAAACAGAGATCAATACCTGTCCCCCACCATGATGTGGTGATGGTGTTGGGAGCAGCCAATGGCTGGCAGCTATGTAAGTGACCACATGGTGGTTCCTTGACTATCCCAGCAGTTATGATTGGCCACATCAGAACCGTGCCAGCAGTTGGCCAGTCCACCGGAGTGTGGGATACCACCCACCCAGCTAGAAAGTAACAAATCTAGTAATTTGTCAGAATTCTTGATTATGGAAAATTGCAAGCATATTAAAAGTAGTAAAGTGAGTCCACAAATAACCACTCCCAGCTTTGCCTTCCAGTCAGTCTTGTCTTATTTCTGCCTCCCCATCTTCTATGCCACTCAGTGTGTGTGTGTGTGTGTATGTGTGTGTGTGTGTGTGTGTGTGTGTGTGTGTGTGTAACTACTGGATATTGAACTCAGGGCCTAGATGCTGCCTGCCCCTTAGTGTTTCCACTCAAGGCAGGTGCTCTACCATTTGAACCAAACATACCTCTACTTTTGTCTTTTTACTGGTTAATTGGAGATAAGAATCTCATGGACTTTTTTGCCCAGACTGGCTTAAAACCATGATCCTCAGCTCTCAGCCTCCTGAGTGCCTAGGATTACAGGTGTGAGCCATCAGTGCCCACTTTCACTCCATTGTTTTGTTGTTTTTTTGTGCTGGTCCTGGGACTTGAACTCAGGGCCTAGGCACTGTTCCTGAGCTTTTGTGCTCAAGGCTAGCACTTTACCACTTGAGCCTATAGCTCCACTTCTGGCTTTTTGGTATTGGAGATAAAAGTATCACAGACTTTTCTGCCTAGGCTGGTTTCAAACTGTAATCCTAAGATTTCAGCCTTCTGAGTAGCTAGGATTACAAGTATGAGCCACTGGTACCTTGCCCTTCACTTAGTATTTTGAAGTAAATCCCAGACATCATTTGTATCTATTTATCTTTATCCACATCTCTAATAGGCAAGGATTCTTTTTTTTTGGTGGGGGGATCCGGTCGTGGGGCCTGGGCACTGTCCCTCAGCTCTTCAGCTCAAGGCTAGCGCTCTACCACTCGAGCCACAGCGCCACTTCCGGCTTTTTTTCTTTTTGCTTATGTGGTGCTGGGGAATCGAACCCAGGGCCTCATGCATGCAAGGCAAGCGCTCAACCACTGAGCCACCTTCCCAGCCCCTAGGCAAGGATTCTTTAACAATACAAATGGGTACTTGGGGCATAGCTCAGTGGTAGAGCACTTGCCCAACATGTGTGAGGTCCTGGGTTCCATGTCTAGCACTTCAAGATAAACAAACAACAACAACATTACTATGGCTAAAAGCTTAAAAATTAATTCCTTGATCTCATCAAATAGCTAGTGTTTGAAGGCTGATGCATCAGGATTAATAAACCCTCTGCAATGACTGCTAATACTAGTTGATGTGTCCCTTGAGTGATTTTTTTTTTTATCCCTAGGTTTATATTTCAGTCCATGTGCTCAGGCTGTTCATCATGGTGTAAGGATATCTGGTGGACAGCAGTGGGGGTGGGGAGAGAAAGACAGAGAGAGGGAGGGAGGGAGAGGCAGCGAGAGAGGAAGAGGCCAAGGACAAGATACCACTCTAGTGATCCATTTCCTCCAGCCTGACCCCACAGCCTTGGTCTCCACCTTCTCCCTAAATAGCACCTCCAGCTGGAGACCTAGTGTCACAGCACATGAAGATGGCCTGGGGGAACATTTCATTTCAAGACATGCTATCCATCTCCTTTTGTCCTAGTCATTTACTTGTTAAAGACATTGTGACACTCACTATGGGGTTTTCCACAGCCTGGACATGGTTTTAAGCCAGTCTGGGCAAAAAAAGTCCATGAGATTCTTATCTCCAATTAACCAGTAAAAAGACAAAAGTAGAGGTATGTTTGGTTCAAATGGTAGAGCACCTGCCTTGAGTGGAAACACTAAGGGGCAGGCAGCACCTAGGCCCTGAGTTCAATATCCAGTAGTTACACACACATACACACACACACACACACACACACACACACACACACACATACTGAGTGGCATAGAAAAGGGGGAGGCAGAAATAAGACAAGACTGACTGGAAGGCAAAGCTGGGAGTGGTTATTTGTGGACTCACTTTACTACTTTTAATATGTTTGCAATTTTCCATAATCAAGAATTCTGACAAATTACTAGATTTGTTACTTTCTAGCTTTTCATTTACATCATCAGTATTATTACTATATTTCATCTGACTTGCCATCATCAATGGCAAGATGCATTATTACTTTATGAGCTCTGAGGGACGAGCTGAATGCTACCAATGAGCGGTACTATCCATTCCAGCAGACGTCCCATTTCAGAGCTGTTTACATGGGATGTTATGTCTTAGAATCAATCAATGAGCTACATTAGTAACACTGTCATCATTATTAGCCATAACTGACTAGCATTTTGGAAACATTTTTGACAAACTAAACTCTGTACAAACATTTCCTTTAATATCAGGACAACTCCTCATTTCCAGAATAAATAAAAAGGAGACTCAGAGAAGCAAGTGAATGTGCCCAAGGTCCCACCGCAGGAAGGGAGGGAGGGAAGGAGGGAAGAGGAGAGAAGGAGGAGACTCACAGGGTCTGGATGGCCCGCAGGGAGGTGAACGTGCCCTTGGCGAGACTCTGGATCTTGTTGTCATACAGGGAGAGGAGCGAGAGGTTTTGCAGGTCCTGGAAGGCATCGGGTCGGATGCAGTTGATCTTGTTGGCGTTCAGGAGCCTGTGGGCAAAGCCAGGGCCGGGAGCTGAGGGGGAGGGGAGAGCAGGGACAAGACCCCTCATACATCCTGGCACCTCCCTGGCCTTGTGTGTGCCAGTAATCTCAGGGAGAAGCCCATGGAACAGGTCACTTCACACAGAGAAGCCACCTGCTTCTTCCTCTCAGGAATGGCTAGAGATGTCACTAAGATTCTAGGAGCACACAGGGGTCCAGATCACCCTTCCAAAAGCAGTTTTAGGGGCTCCTCTTTCTTAGTCCCTAGGGGCTAGGCAGGAGTGTTTGGATTGGGTGATTCCTGCTTCTAAGGGAGAATCCTTGCCTGAATGCTTGGGTGACTTACTGCAGGAGACATCTCTGTGCCCAGCATGCTGGGTACCCCAGGATTGTAGGCTGTGCCTCAGGAACTTCTGGGTTTTGACATCCTGTGAGTAGCCCTGAGCCTGCCTCTACTTCCCAGTTAGACCTCTGAAGTTCTAGGGCCTTGTGGCACAACTTTCGTGGCCTATCTTCCTGGCTCCTAGCTCAAGTAAGTCTTGTACCCCAAAGATACTGAAAGGAAGATGGGGAGCAGAAGAATGAAGATCCCACCCAAAGACCTCCTGGGACAGGTCCTTACAGGAGTTGTAAGGTGTACAGGCCTCCAAACACACCACGAGGCAGGTCTGTGATCTTGTTCCCATAGAGGACCCTGGAGAAAAGGTGGCAGAAAGAAAAGGTCAGGGGGCAGCCTACCTGGAGAGCCCACAACACAGGGACCACTCCACGGAGACCTAGCATCCTGGCCTGTGTACTTGCTACAGGTTCTTGCCAGCAGGTGGTGCTAATGTGTCTTCAGGAAGGCAGCCTGGTCCCAGGCTGCACAGAAGCCACCTCTGGGCTGGAGGACAGTTGCAGAAGGGCCCTGCCCCTTGCACAGGAACCCTATAGAAGCCTGCAGACAGCCCTTCTAGGGAGCCTGATGGGAAATTAATCTGGTCCAGGATCCAAAACAGGAAGAGGAAGTCCCATAAACAGGATCAATATTGTCAGAGAATTTATAGGGGGAAAAAAATAGAATGGCAGATTGCATGTGAAATAGAAATCTAAGCAGTGAGATTGCAAGACACACACACATACACACACACACACACACACACACACACACACACTTTGGTATTTGCAAAGTTTTCTGCACTGAACATGAAATAATTCTATACATAATTAGAAAAAATAGCAAAATTTAAAACAACAACAACAACAAAACCACTGTAAACAGGGCACAGTGAGCCAGTGGCTCATGCCTGTAATCCTAGCTACTCAGGAGGCTGACACCTGAGGATCATGGTTCAAGCCAGCCTAGCAGGAAAGTCCATGAGATTCTTATCTCCAGTTAACCACCAGAAAACCAGAAGTGGTGCTGTGGCTCAAGTAGTAGAGTGCTTGCCTTGAGCTGAAGAGCTGACGGACAGCACCCCGGCCCAGAGTTCAAGTCCCATGACAGACAAAAAAAAAGAGAAAGACTTGTGCAAGGAATAGGTTCAGGCAAGACTTGTGCAAGGAATAGGTTCAGGCAAGACTTGTGCAAGGAATAGGTTCAGGCAAGACTTGTGCAAGGAATAGGTTCAGGCAAGACTTGTGCAAGGAATAGGTTGGGGCAGACGGTGAAAACATCAGAGGGACTGGAGAAGAAGAGTGTTCTATTCCCAGTGTCACAATCAGCCTCCATTCATTGGAATAAAAGTCCTGTATGCTGTTTCTTTACACGTGGCTTCAAGATTTGTTTTAGAAAAGGGCCCATCAGGAGCAAAGGTCCCATGGCAGGATCCACGTTGGCCCATATGGAGTGTTCCAAAGGCCAGTGAGGCTGGTGTGGGGTAAACAAATGGTACAGTAGCTTGGCTTTTATGCAGCAAGCATCAGGAAGCCTTTCAGAGATGCTTGTAATCTGTGTTTCTGTGTAAAGAATAAAATGGAGGAGGGAGCAGGAGTTGAGTCAGGGAAACAAGGTCAGGGCTGACATAGGTGAACATAGATGCTGACGTTTGCTGACATAATCTCACCATGCAGATTCTTGTGCCTCAGCAATTGGCTGTGACCAGCTACTTAAGAGTGATAGAAACCCACATAAACAGGTTATTGTCCCCCTCTTATCCCTTCAGACTGGCACAATCCAAGGGAAGAAAATCATTTTCACATCTTGGAGGAAGATGTGAATACATTCTGGCAGGGTACCTCTAAGATCAGGTCTTCTCAGCCAATGATAGAGATTCATGAACGGGCTGTGAACAGCTGTGTAGGTTGTACAGTGCTGAATTTCAGGGTCACCATTCATAGCTGGTCTCACTGTCTACCTTAAACTCTACTCCAAGAGAAGTCTTATGTAGCGGGCAGAAGAGCTGGTGGCTTGCTGTATTCCCAAGGGTGTGTGTGTGGGGAGGAGCACCCTGTTCTACTTGCCAGGCCTCTAGTATATGCAGTCACAGATCAGAGCAGCTGGAAACACTTGTTCCTAAAAGAAACACATGGCTCCTTCCACAGGGATCCTGTTTGCCTGCTGGGCGTCCTGGCTAGACAAAGTGTGCAAACCTGGGGTGCAAGCACCTTCACCAGAGGTGGAGGGAAGCACTGTCTCCTTACCACCAGCACATTTGGGATAAAAATAACAAGGGGTGGCAGGTGTTGTATCTGGAGCTGGTGGTTATTGCCCTATAGGTGACTGGGGAAGGCCTCTCCAGGGCCAAGATGACAGCCCCAAGGAATTCTGGGGAAATCCCTACCATGGTGGAGAGAGCATCTCCGTTGTCAGGGCAACGGCCCTGTCTAGGTTTCCTGCACTCAGCCCTTGATTCTCTCATTCCTGTCACTCTGCAGAGGGTACACCACAAGGAGGGGGCACTGGGCATGGCAGCCCTACTACTCACAGTGAGTTCAAGGAGCGGAGGCCATGGAAGGCATCAGGTGCAATCTCGGCTATCTGGTTGTTGCTCAGGTCTCTGCAAGGGAAAAAGAGAAAGAGGAGCTGAATCCTTCAGCCCCTCACAGCCATCTGCTCCCCTCTATCCCAGCTGGGGAGCAAGGCATGAGGTTATTTGAAAGGAGAAAAGCAGGGGCCAGTTCCCCATGCAGTGGAAAACCCCAGGTGCCTGGGACACACTTATATGGGAGGGTGCCCTATCTCCTCTTTAGCTCCCTAATTGCTCCTATGTTTACTCAAACTGACACAGGAGGGTGACAAGCCTAGCAAGAGCCAGAGTTGGGATCGGTGCCCCTTCCAGACCTCCCCACAACCCCACAAGGCAATAGCACCATGGAGGTCCCCAGCCTCAGACCACAGCCTCAGAAGCGGGAAGGCCGCTCCAGGCCCCTGCATCTCATGCAGCTCCTGGGGACGCAGAGGAAGGCACTCACATCCTGCGCAGCTTTCTGTAGGGAGAGAAGGCTCCAGGGGGGATGGACTTGATCCCATTGAGCTCCAGACGGCTGCAGAGAATGTGGGGACAGAGAAATAGCACAAGGGCCCAGGTCACCTGGCCGACCTCAGGTGTGTTAGGCTCACCAGCCAGACACAAGGCTCGAGTCCCTCTGAGCCCTGCTCTGTTCCCCTCTGCCTCCTAGGAGGCAGATAGGCCCCTCTGAAAGGAGCCCCATTTCCCCAGTTCCCAAGATCAAAAGGGGCCCACCAAGATGCTAATGCTGAGAAAGCCAGACTAGCAGGTCCACGGGGCTGGGCTGCACAGATGGACCTCTGAGGAAGTCCCTCCCCCTCCCCCCCCCCCCCCAGAGTCTCCAAGCCTCTAGCAAGCATCTTCTCCATTTGTCACTGAGGGTCCTGGGTCAGCGCAGCCAGAGCAGCCCAGGGCCAGTGCACTCACATCTCCGTCATGGTCTCGGGCAGGTTGGCAGGGATGGCAGTGAGGCCTTTACCACGGCAATCCACGATGCCATTGCTACAGGCACACATGGCCGGGCAGGAGCCGGAGGAGAGGGTGCAGGTGGCCACACGCCCTGCCTCTCCCTGACCTGCAGAAGCAGCCAGGTGCGCCACATCAGCACCTCCCTCCCCGGCTGGGGAGATGGGCAAGGGTGGGGGGCTTGGAGGAGGATGAACCAGAGGGGTTCACCAGGGGGCAGACATGAGAGATGGAACTTTGATGTAACTCCGTGGGCACCAGGGGGCAGACATGAGAGATGGAACTTTGATGTAACTCCGTGGGCACCTGGCACCCAGCAGGCCTCAGACAGGTGTGTGCCGGCGTGCAAGGCATGTGCTAGGAAATCCTGGCCTAGAATCCTGAAGGAAGCTCTAGGCTTCATGTGTGTCACCCCTAGGGCCTGGCATTGACTGAAGCCACTACAGACTCTCACAGGTTCTGGAGGCTGCCTGTGTGTGGCTTCTTTCAGACCTTTCTGGCTATAGAATGGAGCCCAAATCAGACAAGGAGGGACTCATCAGGACCTCAAGTGGGAGAGGAAAGGGCCAGGCTAAGGGGTCTAGCTCCCCGGAAGACACAACAGAGAGCCCAGTGCAGCAGTCCGCCAAGGTGGGGGAGGTGAGGCACTGGAGAGAGGAAGAGGTACTAGGAGGGATGAGGAGTGGGGGGGAGGGAAGAGGCTGGAGGAAATGGGGAGGAGGGGAGATGTCAGAAGGAGAGACTGTAAAGAAGAAGCAAAAGGGATGTCCGGAAGGGGAGAGGAGAGGAGACAGGAGGGGTGGTCAAAAGGGACAGTGAGAACAGAGGTGAAAGATTGGGTGGGGGGTGATCAGAAAAGAGAAGGTATAAATGTGTGTTGGGCAGAGGAGCAGCAATGGACAGGACAAAAGGCTGTGGGCAAAGCCGGTGGCTCACACCTCTAATTCTAGCTGTTCAGGAAGCTGAGATCTGAGGATCGTGATTCAAAGCCAGCTGGGGCAGGAAAGACTGTGAGACTCTTATCTCCAATTAACCAGCAAAAAGCCACAAGTGGAGCTTTGGCTCAAGTGGGAGAGAGCCAGCCTTGAGCAAAAGAGCAAAAGGACAGTGCCCAGGCCCAGTACCAGGACTCTTCCTCTCTCTCCCTCCTACCCCCTCTCTTTCTCTCCCTCTCACGCATGCACACACGCGCGCACACACACTCACACACACACACACACACACACACACACGCAGAGGCTATGAGCAGGTAAGTGAAGGCTGGGTGGGGCTTGCACCCACCTGAGCAGCTGAACTCACTCTTCTGGACCTCAGCTACATTGAGGCCCCGCAGGCTGGCGGGCCCTGAGCACTGGGTGAAGAGCCCAATGCTTGGCCTCTGTCTTAGCCACTGTGAGAGCCAGGCCAGGTGGCAGTCGCAGAACAGGTGATTGGAGTGCAGGCGGCTGCAGGAAGACAGGGGAACTCACCACCCACCCTGGCCCAACAGTGAGCTCCTCCAGGGACCGAGCCCCGGTGTGCCCCCGTGCCATGCACACCAGTTAGCTGTGCAGCTCAGCCCCAACTTGAAGGCAACCTGCAGCAATGAGAAGCCCCCCACGGCTCCTTCTGGGGAAGAGGGAGCATCCTTTGCAGGGATTCATCTCACCCAGCTCACACAGAACACCCCCCCCCCCAATCGCTGCAGTCACTCTGGACTGAGGAGGTGGACACGCTGTCCCCGGTGCAGAAGCCCTCACCTCCTTCCCCACCCACCCCCGGTGCTTCCCCGCTGCCCTGCGACAGACTCACAAGGTCCGGAGCTTGGGCATGTGGTTGAAGCTGGACACAGGAATGGTGGTGATGTTGTTGTTGTTCAGGGTCCTGAGAGGGAGGAAGTGCAGCCATTTAGTACCTGCGCAGCAGGACAGTCATGGGGCCGGGCCTCTGTTAAGAACAGGGAAGCCCTCACCCCAGGTACCATGGCCCATGGAGAGGAAGCTGTGAAGAGGGTCTTCCAGGGGGACCAGTCTTGGGGTGGGCATGAAGGGGCTACCCCAAAAAGCATAAGACACAGACCTCCCCCTGCTCACCCCCCCACCAGACAGGGAAAGCTGCAAGCGTGCAGTGCTCCATGCTCTCCAGGTCCTGAAGGACAGAGATCAAGCAGGGGGAGCAAGCAGCTCATGAGCTGATGCACCCCAGACCAGGCCTAGCTACTCAGAGGAAATGGCAGGAAGGGGCTGGCATCCAATCTTCCTATCAGACACTCTGCACCACAGGGCTTCACCCTAAGCAGGTGAAACGTATCAGCTCTCAGTTGCCAGGGTGGCCTTGGAGGCTGTGTCACCCCATTCTTCAAGACTATTGTACCCCGGCTCCAGCTGCAGGGGTGCCCAGCCGAGCCCTGCCTCTGCTGGGCTCTTCACAGCCCTTTCATCTCCCGGGGTTTTACTTACAACACCTCCAGCCCCCGCAGGGCACGGAAGGCCCCTTCCTCGATACAGCTAATCTGGTTCTTGTCCAGCTGTCTGTAAAGCAGAGAGTGGGGGACTTTAGATGAGGGGTACACAGTGTCTGAGCATTCAGATAGAGCACTCCATTATTATTATTATTATTATTTTTGTGGTGGGGAGGTCCGGTCGTGGGGCCTGAACTCTGGGCCTGGGCGCTGTCCCTCAGCTCTTCAGCTCAAGGCTAGCACTCTACCACTTGAGCCACAGCGCCACTTCCAGCTTTTTTCTTTTTGCTTATGTGGTGCTGAGGAATCGAACCCAGGGTCTCATGCATGCAAGGCAAGCACTCTACCACTGAGCCACCTTCCCAGCCCCAGAGCACTCCATTATTTTTTAAAATGAGACATGACTCCAATCATTTGTTAGGCCCACACCTCCATCCAAATAGTAAATATTAGTAAAAAGTTGATTTCTTATTTTCAGTTCAAGTAATAGAAATAAAAGTTATATTCTTTTTTTTTTCTTTTTGTCATCCATCAGTTGTAGGGCTTGAACTCGGGGCCTAAAGCTGTCCCTGAGCTTTTCTGCTCAAGGATATCATTCTACCACTTTGAGCCACAGCTCCATTTCTAGTTTTCTGGTGGTCAGTTGGAGATAAGAGTCTCAGGGACTTTCCTACTTTGGCTGTCTAGGAACCTCAATCCTCAGATCCTCAGATCCTCAAATTAGGCTCCTGAGTAGTTAAGATTATAGGCATGAGCCACTAGTGCCAGCCAAAACTTATATTCTTGTTTCTACACTTGCATGTGCCCTGGGGAGCAGGTGACCACTCCCCCATAATTTGAGGACCACCTAGAGGGTACTGGCAGCTGAAAAATGAAGCCATGGCAAACAGAGCCTGCAGGTGAATTTCCTCCAAGTGCCAAGCAAGATTGACTAGTACTGGCTACCTGGAGTGTTGCTCTGTGGAGGAATGTGGTGATAGATACCAATGCCTGCCTCAGTCATGGGAAGGGTGTGTGTGGCAAGCATGCCAGGCATTTGCTATGCTTATGGACCTTGGGGAGATGATAAGTTTGGATCAAAATAAACTTAAATAATAACAATAATCCATTACATTTAAATAGCATTTGACAAAATGTATATAGTACTCTATCTCATTTAAACCTCAGAACAAGCTTATGAGAAAACAGGCAGCTCATTACTTGCTGCAGCTTATGCAAATGTGACTGTAAAAGATTCAACCCAGCTCCTAATCAGAGGTGAGCAAGGAACTGGGAAGCATTGGTACCTCCATAGACCATGATACTTCAGCCTTGCCCCTTGCTCTGGGGCTTGACTGGTCACACAGAACTGAACCTGTGAGCTGCCTGTGCTCTCCAGAATGTTCTAGAAGCCTGTGCAAGCACCCACCATCTCAGAGCTCAGGCTGGCTCCTTGGAAGCCTGGACCACACAACCCAGGGAGTTAGACCCCCGTATACTGCCAGGGTGACCACAGGCCCTTGTACCCTGCTTCCTTCCCAGGCTTATACTCACAGATTTTTGAGGTCAGTGGCTCCCCGGAAAGCCTTCCTGGGGATGGCCTGGATGGCATTCTCACTTAGGTCCCTGAGAGAACAAAGCAGAAGAGAGGAACATGGTCAGGAGACAGATACTTCCAGAGACTCACGGTGAGCCTTACAGTGGCCACATGCCGCACCTGGGAGGAGGCCTTGTACACAGTGCTCGTTCAGTGAGCACTTGTTGAGAGATGGATGGATGGATCGATGGGTGAATGAATTATGAGGCTGTCCCAAAGGGAGCATCCTCTCAGCTCCTTCTCCTCTGGGCAGAGGGCTGCAGCTGGAAGGAGAAAGCCAGGAAGCGGTGACCAGTCCCACCAGGGCCCACACAGCCGGTGGCGTCGGCCTCAGCTGGCTTCTCTACCGCAACTGCATAAAAAAAAGTCCCTAAGCCACAACCGCCCGGCTGCCCACACAGACTGAGTAGATGTCTACTGTTCTTTCAAGCCATCATGCCTTTGTTTTTGTTTTGGGGGGCTGCAGATGGAATCCAAGCTCAGCCAGCACTCTCTCACAGAGCCAAAGCCCCCCACTCTGAAGCCACTGTGTTTTGCAGTGATCAGTTATAAACCACGGATGACCGAGTAAGGAATGCTTATTTGGTGGCCATCAGGATGTCGACTGCAGGAAGTGAGAAGCCCTGAGAGCTTCTGAGGACAGGGGGACGAGCTGAAAATGGACAGATGTACTGCAGCTACGACAGTACTAGAGACTTGACCTTTCCACATTGGCTTTGGGGTCTTGTTTCCTCATTTGTCAAATGCATGAGGCTAGACCAGAAGGTTTCTAAGCCACCCCCACCACCACACATGCCCCTTGCAGACTACTCAGAGTCACATGCTGTAGTCGTATGTGTATATACCCTCCCTGGATTCCTAGGTTGAAGCCTAGTCCCCACATAATGGTGCTAGCCCGTGGCCTTCCAAGGAAAGTAAGACACCAGAGCCCCATGCGTAGGATCATCTCCCTGCTAATATGAAGAGAGACCATTGGACACATCAAGGTATCATTGGTGAATCAGAAAGTGGGTCCTCTCCACACCCCAACTCTTCTAGCACCTTCAGGATGCAATCTCCATGCCCAGTATGGTGAGGAATAAGGCTTTTTGTTTGTTTTTATTTATGTGGTCTTTTTTTCCCCAGTCCTAGTGTTGAACTCTGGGCCTGGCCTCTGTCACTGAGCTTTTGTGCTCGAATACTGCTCTACCACTTGAGCCACAGCTCCACTTCCAGCTCTTTTTTCAATGATCAATTGGCAATAAGAGTCGCATGGACTTTTCTGCCCGAGCTGGCTTTGAACCACGATCCTCAGATCTCAGCCTCCAGAGTAGCTAGGATTACAAGCATGAGCCGCCAGGATCCAGTCTATGTATATAACTTTGAAAAGGTTATCTGTAAGTAGTTGTACAAAAGCATTTCAATTCAATGTGTCAGTTTATGAATACAATGCATCTTTGATCTATGGGACAAATAAGTGTTTGTGGTTTACAAGGCAGCCAGCCTATGGTGTTATATTACAGCCCCTTGAACAGACTTGGACACATATTATGTCAAGTGCTCTTGCAGACACTTTCTATCCTGGGAGGAGGTGAGGAGGGTGGTGATGTTACCATCTGAGAGGGATGATGAAAACTGGACAGAGCAGCAGGGACAGGGGAAAGCCTGTCACAGGGGAATGACAAGGGAGCGCGAATGTCCAGGAGAAAGTGGGGATGCACAGGGAATGAGACCTCCAGGGGAACACTCACGCCAGCCCCAGCCAGCATCCACCCTCGGGCTGAGCCTGGGAGGGAATTCTGTGTACCACTCACATCCATTATTCTACTTAATCTTCACCACAACCCTGCCAGGAAGGATTTTTATTTGTATTGATTAGTCTATTGATCAAGACCCAACTTGTTCCATAAAGGCTTTAAGGTGGTTTGCGGGGATTTACGAAACAGCAAGAGAGCCGGAGGGGGAAATGGGATAAAGGGAAGAAAAATCAATGGTGGGTGCTCAGAACATGTGGACCACATGACCACACATGGCCAGCCAAGCAGAGTGAGGCCCTGAGCCCTCTGAGCCCTCTGCAAGCCAGCAACGGGGGGAACTGGCCAGTTAGCAGCATCTACCAGACACACATCGTTTCAGAGGATCCGTTTCTCAGAAGCTCAGCTCAGATGAGGCAAGAATTTTCCCAAGAGCCTTTATGAAAAAAAATGACAGTGTGGTCTAATCAATAATTAGATCCTTATAATAAATGGGTTTCAAGTGCCTGTTTCTTATAATAGCATTGCACCAAAGTGTAAGTCAGGAAAAGCAATTGCATAAATCCTCACACTAGGAACTAAGTGGGTAACAGAGGGTAGGGAGAGGTAGATAAGAGGCCTAGCACAGGCCTGACAGAACTCAGCACAATGGGTATGGCGGAAAGACACTGGGATAGACCAGAGGGATGCGTTCTGATGGCTCTGCAGCTGTTACTCTGGGGTACCAATGATTACCAAGGAAAGACAAGACCCCTTAGGCAGGTAAGCATGCAGAGTGGGACACCAAGAGCTAATGGGTAAGATGAGAGTCCTGGGTGGGTAGGAGCTGACCTCACTGGGTAAGTTCATGCCAGCCCTGGCCAGGCAGCCCAAAGCAGGAAGTTTCTCTCTCTCTCCTGGTTTAGGTGAGTAAAGGAAACAATTTGCAACTCCAGAACATCTAGCCCCCCCCCCCCCCCCCCACCAAAGGAAAACAAAGCAGGCCTTAGAAATTTCAGGAACGTGCACTAGTGAAGTGCATGGTGGAAAGACCCTGAACTTGCAGCAAGAAGAATTTAGTTGAATTCCTATTTCTGCCATTTCCCAGACACTGGTTGAAGAGCCCTGTTTATAACAGGGCATAGTATAAAAAGGCCTCCAGTTAGCAAATAGGAAACACTGGCTTTTGTCCCTCCTTCCCTTACGGCTTCTTGGTTGCATCCAGAGTGACCACTAGGGAGCGCCAGAAGCCTTCCCAGGACATGAGCTCAGCCCCATTCCCACACCCAAGGCTGTCCGCTGCCTGCGGGGCCCATCCTTGTCTCCTCTTTGCCAAACCTGACTGAAATTAAGTCGCCTGTCTCCCTTTGCTGCTGGTCTGCACAGAAACCCACAAAGCACCAGCTGCACCTTTCCCAGTCCACCGTTCTGCACCCTCAGCCACCTCCATCTCCCCAAGCCTTCATTTTATCCCCTCCTCCCATGATGACCTGACACAGGCCCACAAGTGAGGAGAATGGCTCCGGGTTTGTTGGGACAGAAAGGACAGCCCAGAACAGGAGGGGACCAGATAGCAAACTCAGAAAAGTTTGACCTGACAGGGGGAAGATAGAGGATGCAGAGTCCTAGGCAGACAAGAGTTCAGAAAAGACGCCACAGGCAGGACAGTGAAAAGAGTAAGGACAATGCCACACTATATGTCACAGTAGAGACTTGAGCTCAGCAAGCTACGTGTGTCATGTCTTGAGCAAGTCATCTTCTCATGACTCAGTTTTCTCCTCTGCAGAATGGAATGGAGACATGAAGTCTACCTATGACACTTTTCCAGCTCCAGAACACTCTTGCCACAGGGCCTTTGCCTGGACTCTACTTCCTTCATTTGCCACCCAGCAAACTCCTATTCACCTTCATATCTCAGTCCTCAAACACCTCCCCTAATCCCTAACTGCTCCCTTTCCTATTGGTCCTAGAAACCCCTGTTTGCCATTTTAGCACCAATCCAAGATTATAATGAAATACAGGTGTGCTGAGTGTAATGTCCATGGCCTGCTCCAGATCACAATCTCCTGAAGACAATCTCTTTTTCTCCCCTCGGTTCTGGGGGCATTGCACATTTTATATCCCAGGGACTCAGTAATTCTCTTTTTCTTTTCCTTTTTTATTGTCAAGGTGATATACAGAGGGATTACGGTTACATAAGTAAGATAAGTACATTTCTTGTCAAACTTGTGCTCCCTTCCTTCATTTGTCTCTCATTTTCCCTCTAGCCCACCCTCGCTCCCACCCCCTCCCCAGGCTCAGTGATTTTGAACTGAATTGAACTCCAGCAGCTCCATATAGGATTCTCCTGCCTCAATCTCTCTGCAACTTTCTGACCAGAACAAAGGGTTAGAGACCAGGCCACATGTTGAGAAAAGAAGGCAAGGCTTGGAGCAGACAACAGCTCTGCGTGGCAGGAGACCACCGCACATTACCTGCGCCCACAGGCTCCCAGCCCCTGCTCTGCCAGACAGGGCGGAAGAGCACAGGATGAAGGCCATGAAGAGGGAGGGAAGCGCTGAACTAGTACTTGAGACTGTGCATCATATCACAGTGACCCTACTTCTTTCCTCCCTGAATTCTGACAAAATACCCTGGGGAGGGAGTGCCCCAGAACAGGGGGTTGGGCAGCCACTGAAGCAGGTGAGTGACTGTCCTGGGACCTCCCAGGGAAGAGAAGGAGCTGGAGCACCAGAAAGTCCACTCCTGGGGATGTGAGGGGCTGTAAAGACCCCGCCTTGCCTGGCCAGAACCCCTATCACCCAAAGCCAAGGGCTTTGCCAACAGCAGCTTCCACTGGGTGCCCAGCGTCCTGGGACCCCTGCCAACCTCCTTCCCCTGCAGATAAGGGACAGCCAGCCCCTCCCTGACTTGGAACTGTCCTAGGTATCCTGCTCTGGGTCCCTCTCTTGCACAGCTATGAGGGTGAATAGGAGTTTGCTGGGGGCCGGGGCAGGACCCCATGTTCTTGCTGCTAATCTCCTTCACGCTGTAACCTGACAGGTCACTGCTGCAGCCCAGCCTCTACAGGGATCAGTGGGGCTCCGCTGGGACTCGAGCTCAGCTCTTGCCAAGGCTGGACTCAGCTCTGCCTTCCTAGCACTTGCTCAGCCACTCGGCCGCAGAGTGCAGCGGCTCTACTGGCCTCTCGAGCCTCACAGAGGCTCTGGGTTTACCCTAAGTCAGACCCCACGGGGGTGCTGGACAGCCTTGGCCTGGTCAGCTCCTGCCCTGCGCCTTCACAGAGGCAGTGCTGGCAGCTGCCCGCCTGTGTTCTG